GAGAAATATCTGGTATCGCAATAAAAAAAGTGTCACAAAAATGGAAGTGGGACGGATTTAATACTATTCCTGAGTGATAAATACTTGAATTCATTTCAGGTAGGCAAGAAAATTGGATGCGGTAATTTTGGAGAATTGCGTTTAGGGAAGAATCTTTACAACAATGAGCACGTGGCTATCAAATTGGAACCACTGAAGAGTAAAGCGCCTCAGCTTCATCTCGAATATCGTTTTTACAAACTACTTGGCCAGCACGGTTTATTTTTTTATTAGCTTCTTTATTTCATTCCAAGTTGTTTGATGTTGATATATTCGTTTATCGTAAGTGATATTTATTCTTAAAAGCTTAGGCTTCAGATGAATTTCACTTCCGGAAGGAAAGGTTTGAAAAAGTAGGTGGAAATCCTTCATTCGTGTATATCTTATTTTCTTTTTATCCCTAGAGTGTTTTGGGATTTTCAATCTTTGAATATCGAAAAAAAACTTCAAATGAAAATATTATTCATTACCCATTTTAAATTGTCTTTGTGTTTATAATATATCTTTTTGTAGAAGGATTGCCACAAGTGCATTACTTTGGACCATGTGGGAAATACAATGCATTGGTAATGGAATTATTAGGACACTCTTTAGAAGATCTCTTTGATTTATGCGATCGGAAATTCTCCTTGAAAACCGTTGCTATGATTGCAATGCAGCTGGTTAGTTCAAAGCTTGCATTTTTTATAAATAGAATTACAACTTTGTGCAACAGTTTGTTTGATTAAGTCAGAATTTTTTTTACAAATGAACATATGAGTAATTAAGTTAACATCAGCATATCGGCTGATAATAAATGACGTTAAGTTTTGAGTCAGAGACTTTATAATACGGACTTATATATAACATTAATATTAGTAACACCTGATGTGGAATCTAGCATTGTTTTGCTTTCAGAGCTTAAACTGCATCAGCATATAATTTGCACTCTGCAAAATAAAACAATTCGGCGAAGTCATGTATGACTCGATAGCATCTGAAGAACCTAATTTTCGTGTACATAATTCAGAACTGAAATATTATAAATTTTTGATTTATAGATGAGGCGTGTTGAATATGTACATATGAAACATTTGATTTATCGAGATGTGAAACCGGAAAATTTCTTAATAGGACGGCATTCTACTAGGAAACAACATTTACTTCATATTATCGATTTTGGGCTTGCAAAAGAGTACATTGACTGTGATACTGGTAAGTTCCTTGTGCTTAAACGGATGCATAAATACTAGGTGAACGATAATGGCGGATTTTTATTATTTGGCTTTCATAACTTCGAGTATTAGCATAGTGGTTGTGTCGAGCCTTTACTAGTATTATCTCAGTAATTGCAAACTATATTTCAACTCTTTCAATGATTTACCAAACAAATAGGAACTCTGCTGATAAGTAGGAGAAATTCAATTTAAATTTTTCACAAATTTTGAAAGCATTTGAAACAAATGAAATGAAGCAATCAAAATCGATTACAGGTAAACATATTGCCTACAGGGAACATAAGTCATTGACAGGCACAGCGAGGTACATGTCAATAAACACTCACCTCGGTAAAGAACAGAGTAGAAGGGATGACTTGGAAGCACTTGGGCATATGTTCATGTATTTTTTGCGTGGATCACTGCCTTGGCAAGGTCTTAAAGCAGATACTCTCAAGGAACGGTATCAAAAGATTGGTGATACTAAACGAGCAACACCAATTGAAGTGCTCTGCGAGGGCTTTCCTGGTACGATTTTCCATTCTTTTGCTTAATTGTTGGGACTGTAATCTATAACACAGGATCAGTAACGATGTTTAGAAGATTATAGCTAACATTCTTCATAGTAACCTCTTTGTGATTTACTTTATAGTCACTTCGAATATGTAAAATAAACAATTATTGATCAGAATATAAATGTGTTGACAGGGCAAAATCAGGTGCATGAAGCAATATAATAAAATGTAGTTATAAGTGCAACTGTTCTTCGGTGAACTTGAGTTGTTGAGTATTGAGCACCTCATCATTAATATCTAGAGTTAACTATTTGTCGTATTAAATTGAAATCCAATTGCAGAGGAATTTGCTCAGTATTTACGATATGCACGTCGATTAGACTTCTTCGAAACGCCGGATTATGAGTATTGCTACAATCTGTTTAAGTCAGTACTTGATAGGCTTGGTTATGCATACGATTACGAGTTTGATTGGACTCCAAAGCTCAATCAAGCGGTGTGTTTACTGTTTTCAAATGGTAGTAAGCCTGTGAAGACAAAATTTCAACTCTTGGGTTACATCCTACGGAATATTGCAACTCATTGGTAAAGCTCTTGAGTTACACCCTATGGAATATTGCAAATGCATTGATAAGCTAGCAATTTATTTGAGTTTTACTTGTCAAAATCAATAATGCAGAATTTCGGCTCCTGGAATGACTAATTCAAGTCAAAAGAATAAGAACTAATAGCAGTGGAAAGAAAGTTTTTTAATCAGTGTCGTAGAGGTATATGGTCTATACGAATCTTACTCTTCCTTATAGTTTAGTAATGTGAAATAATTTTTAATTTAAATGATTTGTTAGGTCACAATATTTTAAACATTTTTCAGTCAACTCCTTCGGGTTCTCTTCATGCCGGTGATGCACACAAAGGAGAGGGAAAACGGGCTGGTATTGCGAAAGGACGACAAAATGAAATCCTCAAACCGTCCAATCAAGGCGCTGGACAACAGGGTGGTGGTTTTGGTTCTACTCAAGTAGGTATTTCATGATTGCTACCGAATGAGTCTGTATCACTGAATTATATCTAGACAAAAATGCACTTCAGGATTTTTTTTTCAACACTAATTACGATAACATACAAATCGAAAGGCTTCTATCTGCATTGTCATCACTGTACTTAAAATATAGTTATGGACAAAAATATTTTTGGAGGTAATCAATTCAAATGTGGGCGAAGTGATAGAAGACAATGGCGGTCGGTTGCAACCGCCTGTCACACACCTAGAAGATAACAGTGAAGTGAAGTAAGTTAACTGACCTACGTTTGTTGACAAAGATCCATAAAGTTTGCAAATTTTATTATTTAGATATGAAACGCTTTTCTGAATCAAATCAGGAAAGGGAAGTAATAGAGATTTTGCAAATAGTTAGCAACGAGGGACAGTATTAGTGTAACTTGTTTTAAAAAAAATACCTGTTTAGGTGTTGCTGCTTTCGACGACGAAGACGAAAGGCTCCACAACAAAAATAAAGACAAGATTCCAGTTATTTGATGACCTAAAAGGACGCTGAGAAAAACGGGGATATGCTGGAAGCAACCATGTTTTGGCATGTGGAAGTTTTGGTTCGCCTCTTGTCTCGTGGTGTCATTTTTTACTTTCACCATGATTTTTTTTTTGTAGTTACCTATCATCGTTATTTGTCTTCTGATCTGCTCTCATTTGTTTTTCTCACTGCCTTCGCCTCACTTTGATTATTTCTCATTTAGCATTACACTGACATTCTTCCAGCAAAGCCAAACATTCCCAAATGTTAGCTCTGTCAGATTTTATTGTACTGATTACTTTGTATGGAATTCAAGAATGTTTTATGCTGGGACGAGGCAATGTTAAATTCCATGTTATCCGAAGCAGTTGATACAAAGCGTTCCTTTTGTCTATGCTCTTTGTTTTTGTATACCGTATATTGTTTTTTAGCTTCAAATTTTAAGGTTTGTGTTCACTTCAAAACTTGTATATTTAAAATTTTGATTATTTGTTATTTTGTTTCACCATTGTCGCTGTTCGTCCAAACATTTTGCCTGCATTTTTCATTGCCCTGAATTCCATAATCAAATAAGAAACCCGGTTACGCTACACATTGCTTTCTGACCTCATACATTTTCTGTTTCAAACTCTGAAAACTCAAGATTGTAATTAATTTACATTAGAATGTACTATTTGTACTGAATTTTAGACACAATGGACCAGTGTGAGCGAAAAGTATTGTGCACGTGCTAGCCTACCATGTTTAATGAATGCCCACTCAATTTTGTATAAAAACAAATTGTATGGAAGATATTAGAAAAAAGAACACACTAATAGTGTATGTATTAGAAACGTGAGAATGCGTTATGCACGCCTCCGATTTTAAATACGGTTTTTTCTTAAAATTATCTAATACGCTATGTTTCTTGAATTAACTATTATCTCCTTATATTAGCTAGTGATCAGTTCTTCCTTGTTTGCAAGTGCGATCATTGTAGGCTACAAATAGTAAAGAACTTTTGACTGTGTTAGTAATAAACATAATACTGGCATTAATAAGAGGTTAAAATTCAGGATATGTAGTTACCATATCATCCTTTAGTTGATTGTATTGTTAGCATCTTGGGACTTCACTTTAAAGCTACAGACAATGCAGTAAATAGCGTACACACGGTTACTCATGTTCTGGTAATTTTATGTATGACAACATTAAGCATTATCAACCGGGGGCAGTTGCAGGTGTTATTTCTTTATTGCTTAAGTGTGTCTTTCCCGGGGCCTATAGATATCTTGGCTTTCACGAAATGACCTAAGCTTAGTCCCATTGAAGGAAGGATATTCCCATCACATAAGATGACTTCTACATTCACGTCAACTTGATCACAAATCAGCGGAGGACAAGCAACTCTCCCGCCGAAGGTGACTAATGTACAAATAGTATGTGGTACAAGATGGTTGTGTGAAATAAATTGACTCCAATAAATAACAGGGAGGCAAGGCGTTAATCATCAAAATTGTAGGGAGGATCTTCAGGAGGATGAATATGTTTTGAACGATTTTTAGTGATCATAGCACTGTTGTGCAAAGTATTTGAGATAACAATGAATGAAATAGAGATTTTGAAGATGTTTGGATAGATTCATCAAGTCAGTAAGCAGATATGTGAAATTAAAGAGAGTGGATATGGCGTGTTGTCTGTGCTATTTTCTGATTTAACATTGAAAATTTCGGGAACATCTTATGGCTGTCATGTACTATCAGTTTGAACGATTTCCGCAGTTCCGCCCTTTAGCCTTTTCACTACTTTTCTCGAGTATCAAAAGGAATGCTGCAAAAACTTCAAGTACTGTTAAAATTGAGAAGGGAAATTTAAATGTTGGTACAATAGGTCACGTGGATCATGGAAAAACCACCTTAACCGCTGCCATCACCAAAATTCTATCTACTAGAGGTAAATGCTTTTTTAGATTTATCATTTGTGTTTGTTGTTGATTAGTTATTCATTAGGATGATATTATATTGTTGGTAGCCCTGGAAAATAGATCACGAATAGATTTTGTCGACCGTTATACTTTACTAACGAACTCATTTCAAAATTTCTGTTTTGTTTTCTTGTCTTTGTGAACAGCTTTCCCTTTTGTAAATCTTCTCACTTGTTTTTAGAAACAATAAATATCGGCCAATTGAAAGTGAAATATAATATCTAAGTTATTTTCAGGAAAAACGAAATTTGTCAAATTTGAAGAAATTGATAAGGCAAAAGAGGAACAGAGACGGGGCATAACGATAAATATCGCACATATTGGTTATGAAAGTGATACACGACGATATGCGCATACTGATTGTCCCGGACATAGCGATTTCGTAAAAAATATGATTTGTGGCGCAACACAGATGGATGTCGCTATTTTAGGTGGTTTTTAAAAGATTGGTATAGATACTATCGAACGTCGTAGCAACTTAATGAATTATATTTTTTAGGCGTCAAGCATGTTTCACTTAATATTAGAATGAATTTCGTATAAATAAACTTTCAAGTGCTTAAAATATTTATGTAAGTGCCGTTTTAAAAGGATTATTTAATTCTGATTTTCAGTAATTGCTGCTACTGATGGAGTTATGACACAAACAAAGGAGCATCTTTTATTAGCTAAACAAGTTGGTGTTTCTAACATAATTGTATTTATAAATAAAGTGGATTTGGTCGATAGGGACGTTGTTACACTAGTAGAAATTGAAGCACGAGAATTACTAGAGCACCATGGTTATACAGGTTAGTTTTGCATCATTTTCTTTGTAACACTGTGGCGATGCACTGTTAACGCTACTTATAAATTAAATGTAGACAATACTGAATGCGTTGGAAAATTTCTTCGAAAGGCATCTCGTGTGCACTGTCATATTTTCTGATTGCAGATGAATCAGTTATTGTGGTGAAAGGGTCGGCATTGCAAGCATTGCAGAAAAATGATGGTGAATGCATTGAACAGTTAATTTCGGCTTTGGATAAGATTCCTCTTCCAAAGAGGCTGCAAGTTGTTCATTTCTACCGACGAAATTATAAGCATTATTTAGTGGTATTAGATCAAATAGTGACAGAATTCTCGCAAACAGTCGAAAATTTTATCATATAAATGAATATTTGCCATTTTTTATCCTTTTTTGAAACATTAAAGGAACTTCTTGTGTTCCAACCATTACCTTTTTACAGGATGGACCATTTCTGATGCCTATTGCATCGCGAGTATCAATTACTGGGAGGGGAACTGTTGTCGTTGGAACGGTTGAACAAGGAAAAGTCAAAAAGGGTGATAAAGTGGAAATCAAGGGAGAAGGTCAATGCGTTCAGTCAGTTGTTTCGGACATACAAATATTTAAAAAAAGTGTTCTTGAAGTAAGCAGTTTGTATGACTTTTATTGTAATATATCTAAAATGGGGTTTACTGATAACTTTCTTTATCCGTTATGTTGGGAATATTTTCAGCAAATCTTTTATATTTCTTAATTTAAAAAGCAATCCCCTCGTGGAAAGCAAACGCAGTTATCATATTATGAGAAACTCAACTGTGGAGGTCTTTCATTGTACTTCTAGTAAATTTCTGCAAAACTCGATGCAAACTGCTGTATTAAAAAATTTGGTAATTTATTCAGGTTTGTGCTGGTGATCACTGCGGTATTTTGTGTCGTGGTGTCAAAGCGAATATAGTGAAGAGAGGTATGTGGGTCGGGACCGTAAATGCGGTTACCACATCTAATTTCTTCAAGGTGTTGTATTCTTCGATTTAAGCTTACTAATATTCATGTGATTAAAATAATCTTCAGAATTTCCTGGAAAAAAATGTGCCAGTTACTTCTTGATTTTTTAGGTTGAGTTGTATTTATTATCTGAGAAAGAAGGGGGAAGGCGTTTGGCAGTACATTCTGGTTTTACTGAAAAGGTGTTCTGTAGTACGTGGGATCAGGTTCGTTTATCCCTTTTTTTCAAAATCCATGTTCTTATTTTATCAATTGCTACAGTACAAACTGCTAAGCATAGCTAAATTGATTTCATTCAGGCTGGCCGCTTGCATCTGGAATCTGATATGCTAATGCCTGGGGAACATTGCACAGCTTATCTGTTTTTGATTAACAGAATGCCTGTGAAGCAATCATTACCTTTTACAATACGAGAAGGAAGCAAAAAGACAATTGCTCGCGGTATGATTCGCGAAATTTTCCCCGCAATTGATTTGGATTCATTCAAGGATATCAAAAATAAAGGACTTGAAAAACTTATCAAACAACAGCAGTGATACTTCATGTAACTATCACTAAAATGTATGCAACTGAGAAAGAAAAATGGGTAGTGAGATAGATCCATATGGTCCTTGAAAACTCTGAAATTTTACCACATCACACCTGAATATCGAACAGAATTCATTTTCGCTCCGATATCTTTAACAGCATTAGATTATTTGATTTTATGCAGTTATATTCAAAAATAATTCGGTATATCTATGCATTAATAACTCTTCGAAGGGGGGATATAATATGTATAAAATTACGTTTTTGACATATTGCTTCTTGCTTCTAGGAATTAAAAAAACTAACGAGGGTTAACGACTAATAATAATTAGGAAGTGAAGTAATTCAACAGTTTTTTATAATTTTTTACTATCTTTAATGTTAGAACTTATATTGTATACTTTGGTTCAAATTTATGGCGAATATAATGTCAGTTATACTTATATGAATATTTGTTGCAGTAATTCCGAAATGGTCATTCTTATTGTGAAAATGGTTATGTAAAGCCAGTTTATTTTTTACTAGAAAAAAGAACGAAGATAGGGATATTCTCCTTCATTCGTATAGTAGTAACAGTAATAATTTCGAAACAATATGTTTTATTTCAATTTATAGGTTAACAATTCAAGTTTAGAGTTGAAAAATTCCTAGTTCCTTCAATTCTAAGCTGTAACCATGCACATGAAGTTGTCATTATATTTTTTATTTATGACCTCCAATTTTTTTTTTGGCGAAAATAATGGAGAGCTTGGAGGATTGCATTTGGGGCAGATCTAATTGGAATGCATATACGGAGGAGCTGGTTGGAGCAATTAGAGTCGATGAAGGAGTTCTTTTGGAAAGAATTAATATTGTTAGAGAAAGTATTGGTCGACAGATTCGGGAGGCGGTAAATTTATTTCATTCCAACTAAGGATATAGATTTCTCTTTTTTTCGAAACATGGTAAGGTACTATGGCTCAAGGACAGCTGTCTTTTTCTGTACATCATGATTTCACTTATGTTTTTTGAGGTTGAACAACATCATCCTCGTTTGGTAGAACAGGCAAGTGCTCTGCAAAATTTGGATCGCGTGCAAGCAACTATCAACCGTGAAATGTCTCATCTGTACAAGGGATGTAATGAATTGGGTGAAAGATTTCAGTTTGAATACGAAAAATTATGTCATATGACAAATAGACTTGAACAACTGTATGCATTAAGGCGAACTTTGGCGTCAGCTAACAGGTACATATGCATCAAGTATTTCATCAATAGCCAACATAGGATAAATTTACTGTACCATGAATTAATTTAAAAATTTCCTTTTAAGATGCGAACAGCTAGTTGGGAAACTCGGAAGTACAACTGAATTGGTAAAACGATCAGAGATAATTTGTGAATTGGAAGCAATCATAACTGAGATGCCATCTTTGAAAGATTTGAACAGTACTCGTGAAATTGTCTTGGTTTCGGTATGCTCTATAATTTTCATATTTCATCAAACTTTCAAATCGAAGAAAAAATTCAATTCATGATTGTTTTAATTCATATTTTGCAAAAGAAGTTGTTGCATAGATACCGAAACTGACTGCTGAAGCGAAACAGAATACAGCCAGTCATTTAAGATCTTCGCTTGAAAGTCTCAGTGCACCACTTGTTTCTTCTTGTGTTCGTGCACTGAAGAATCTATCGTCATATGAATTTGAGGTAAGCGTTCTATACCTGCTTGCTAGCTTAGAAAACGGTTCCTATACGTTCTGTTTTATCACACTTGTATAAAATAGACAATTTTTGTTTTGTTGTAGAATGCGAAATCTTTTTTTCGACCTGTGAATTGCAGTTCAATAATTTTGAGAATGAAATATTTCCTGTTCGAATTTTCAGATCAGTCGCCTTTTAGAAGAAAATGCCAAACGCTTAGATGGTCAATTTTTGCAGCTCAATAGTAGCACTGTAATAGCGGGAAAACTTCTTCCTCAGATAGCAAATCAAATTCAAGTATGTTTTTCTTCTCTATGGATTATGTAATTTACTTGCAATTAGTATGCATTAGTATGTTAAGTGAGTGAAACTCATTATAGATGAAACTATTAAAAAATTAAATTTATGAGATTCATAAGTTTGAAAAATTTTTAAATTAATCATATTATTAGAATTTCCACTTTGCAGCTGTCACTGAAGCAATATTCTTTGTTAAGCATGGAAATTATCGCAGAATTCTCTGAAAAGCTAGCAAAAATTATTTCAAGACGTATTTCTGAAAATGCTCCTTATGCTACTCGTTTTGTACAACTTCTCTCCAAAGTCGTATCTATCTATCCCGCTAAAGTTGTGCAGTCCTTGGATCAAAGTTTGCGGCCTCTGCGCAGAGCGATATTGTCTCATTCTCTTGGCAGAATGTTTAAGGCAGTTGACAACGCTTTTGAAGAAAATAATCTGACAAATTTTTCTGTGGAGAAAGTATGTTTAAGTATCCAGTTTTCTTTGTTACGATTTTTTTGGATTAGTTTATCAGTCTGAGTTTTTGTATATCAGGGAAATTTTTTTAAGATTGATTCGACAATTAAGGAGGAGCTGGGAGGTGTGGAATGGGATGATCAACTGAGTAGAGAAATGAAGATTAATGTGGCAAAAGTGCTTCAGTTGATTGCACAGAAAATTGAGCAACATCTTGTCTTGGACTCACCTACACTTCAAATGAGTGAGCGCCTCAGCACTGCTCAGGTAAAAATGAATTGTGGATGATTTAATAGACTTAGTTGATCGATACAAGTATGTATTCAAAATCTCAGTACATTAAAAAGAAAAAAAACTTGTTCCTGATGTCTTTATGTTGAACGGAGTAGATGATGACTTGAACAAATAGGCATGAAATAAAAGGATAAATGATTTCAAATAGCTGTTTATGAAATAGACACGTCACTACAGTTTTGATATTATATGAGTAATCTTTGTTCTTGAATAATTCTGAACATAATGAACTCCGTCCTCTATAGTTGCAAATTTTTTTCTGATTTCTGGTCTGAAACTGAATATAAGGATGCTCATTATACAATTGGTTTTTAGGTACAAAATTATGCGTTAGTCTCCGTAGCGCATATGCTAAGTTTATCCTGGCCAGAGTACAATGAACCTCTGATACGAATCTCTCAGCAAGTTCGAGAAGCACTTATGGAAGTGGCACGTTCATCTGTTTTCACAATTTTGTTATCAATGCACTATGAGAACTTGGGTGACCCATCTCCATATGTAAAAGAACTTTGCAATTATCTTCGCATTTTGCATTCCCACTCATCTTTTCTGAAGTTTGCTGGTTTTGAGGAAGTCTTCAATTCATTCCTAGATTATGTTATTGAGTTATTTTTAATGAATTCATCACTTGTGCGACCTCTTTCTTCAGATGAGCTCTCACATTTGTCTTTTGATTTACAGTACATTGTCCATCATGGACTTTCGTTATACAATGTACAGTCTTCTCTTATGCCTTTTGTATCCCAATTTATTGACGCTTTCAAGCTGTCCGCAGAGCACCTAGCGCGGTCGGAATCGCTGCCTTTTTGGTTTGTTGTACAATTGTTGATAAGTACGAGTGAGGAAATGCTGTTGTCCCCACATATATCAGCTGGCTGGTCACTGGAAGAATATTTAAAATGGTGTTTAAGCCATGGCACAGCAGACCGTTTGGATTTCTTGTCATCTCTTATGCATTCCTATACTTCATCTGTTATTTTATCTAGTCGTACCGAGTATGTCACTAATTACCCTCTAATCATGAACGTTTTACAAAAGATTGCCTCCAAGAGCTGATCTTATTGGTTTTGAATGTTGTCGCCATTTTGAAATAACTGATGAAGTATTTGTACCAGTATTGGTGCGTGAATAAACTTGTCACGTTTAAACTATCGTTTGATGCACAATGTGGGTGAATGTATGTCAATAACTATTTCAGCAGTACCATATATTTTCAGCAAATGATGCATTCAATTACTCTACTTCTTTTTCTGAACCATAGTAGATTATTTCAGTTAAATATTTTTGTTGACTTTAGTAAGATTTCATTTATTTTTGAGCAAAGAATTTAAATTAAATTAAAATTTGTGGCATCCATTTCAGCAGTCTTGGGAATCAATCATAAAAAAATAGTAATCAGGAACTCAAAATTAAATATAATTTCAGTATTAAATATAATACCGTTGATCAAGAAGGGAAACAAGATTTTGATTCAAAACAATCGCGTCAGCATGCGACAGATTCCTGAAGAGGGTATAATTTGGGTGAATTATTACTTGAAAGAAAACATAAGCTGATATGGCATAACGATGTTTGATGTATTTTTTCTAGTAAAGATTTAAGATCCCGATAAAAAAATGTATAGCTCGAATCTTTCAGATAAACAGGACAATAAAACCATAGAACACGATGGAGAGTGGGAATCGAAAACAGTGATATTGGAGATTGGTGGTATAATGGATGTGAACGCAGCACGAGAGGCTTTGAATCGAAGTGATAGTGCTATACGTCGATGCAACACAGAGAATCCGATACTACAAATTTCCAATTCTCTCTTCACAGCTGAATGGAATTCCATTATAGGCACGGATATGATTTTCAAATTAGAAGAGAAACAGCTTCGTTTTGTTGAATGTTCAGATGTTAGATTGAAAGCTGAAAAAGCTTTGGTCATTGATAATGATGACAAGTAATAAATGATGTTTCTTCCACATAATGTTGATGTGTTTGCTTCAGCGGGTTTCTGTGCACCTATATTTCAAACTTAAATTCTGTCTCTGTATAGTTTTTATTCTAGTGCAATATTTTGGAAATTGAAATATCAGTGTGGAAGAATGATGTGGTCTAAAGATCAGTTCATTTGTTGGAATGTCCCTTGTGGTGACCCAGGTTTTCCGGAAGAGATGGTAAAATTTTCATGGTGAATTTCTTTAATTTTCAGACTTGATGATGCAATTTAGCTAATACGTAATACGTTAGCTAGGTGTTTCAGACCGTAATGTTTTGTATCACTGCGATTCTTCAAATATGAACAAGAAAAATCGGTACCTCAAGAAATTTTGGAATACTTTGCTCCGATAAATACGGCAACGTATGACTGTGGTGGGCTATATTCCGAAGAGATTTTCGCATACCATGTACAACTGACGCTTTTTAATTTGCATATTATATATTACCTACCAATTACCATGAAGGTTTACGAAAATACCGAAAACCGAACCAGCGACGACAGCTTTTCATTGTGCATCTTTTTCGAAGGAGGGCTTATGTCGTTGGCCTGTATCTGATATACAATCGATTCTTCTTTGATGAACGCGCGACAGTGGGTGATCTATCAATACTGAAGAATGGTTACTTCAGCTGACACAATGGCGAATCATGATTTTGTTGAAAGTTAGTATCAGTTCTATTAGGAAATGTTAAGGTAGTACCATGCAGAATTACAAGTATTCGTTTTTTTATCTTTCTTTTTTACTACTGTTTTGACATTGTCTGCACAGAACTAAAAGATTGGTTTCCTTCCTTTTCAAGATTTAGGGTACAATAGCACACCTTTGCTCTCTGCATTTTTGATCCCTTGCTGAATGTATATTTAGCGCACTCACAAAGTTTGTCTAAGTTTTTCAATGTATTATATATGTCATCATCGTGTTAGTTATCAAGAAGCATAGATTATGAGGATGACGTCTTTCAGTAAAAGCTTCGACTTTGAGTCCTGGTAAGTATTTTTAATATGAATTTACGTATGCTACACAATAGGACATTTTAAACTTCTATTTGAATACCACGATATTGTAGTATTTACGGCAGATGAGATTTGCAAGTCGGATTTATTAAAATGCAGTGTCAGAAAGTTCAGCAACGGTCTTATTCTTTAAACTGCATTTGAATAATGAATTATCATTTATTATATGAAGTGTGGCAGATTCACTTGACTCATTAGTATCCATCAGATCAACAATTATCCCACTTCAATAGAGGACTATCTCATATTTCTATTGGTTTGGTTTGGTAGTTGAAAACGTGATTTATGTAGAGTACATATAGTATTCTTCTATTCGCCACTAGTGCGAAGCATATGCAGAAGTAATGGAATCAGGATGATTCTAATGTTGAAATCAATGATGCCACAATAGAAATATTAGATTAATGTAATTTATATGTTTCAGGATCGTCGGGGAAATGTCAAACTGTGAGTAGATTCTGGTTTGTTTTTCTTGTTTCGATGAATTTTAAATAAGTAGGTGTTTGCATAGGTTCATTCGTAGAAGCCTTGAAAGCTGGATTTAGTATGTTTTTGATCATTAGGCAACTTCTGGTTACTTTAGTCAATAAGTTTTAAATGAAAACAACTTTTAATTCATATTGTAGCTTTTAAAATTAAAAAGTGAAGCATAGCTTCGCACTTCGTGCTGTCAGCAAATAGGTTCTAAACTCGATTGCGTATTACTACTCTCTGATATATTATGTACGGTATTAACTCAAACCGGCAACCGTGCACATAAGCTTGGCTCTTCAACTTTACTTTCAATTGACGAGCATTATTGCAGGACATTATGTGGGGGAAAAAGTACCGTCTATATAATGGGATTCGAGTGCAGCTGAAAGGGGACGTTACGTTTAGAGATGGCCGTCGGAGAAGAGATGGAGAGAGAAGAGCAATCGATATGTGCTGTTGATTTGAAGTTGCCTAGTTGCACTACTGCTTCTGCCTCTTCTGCACCTTCACTTGATGTCGTGTGCAAGCAAAAAAAAGAACGCGAGTACTCTTTCAACCCACATTAATTCTAGTTGTGAAAGATCCGAAAATTTGGAAAGCCTTTAGGACATTGTTTTCATTCAATTTCTATGATATTAGAGAGTATTTCCATGGCATTACCTCATTTTATAGATGATGTTATGGGGTATTTATTCCGGATTTGAAAAATATGTGGATCTTCTAAAGGTCTTTTAAATCTGCGGGAAGTGATAGGAATTCAAGAAGATTTGATAATGTATTTACATACAATTTCTACATTTTTTCTAAGGCTGTTATAGTTTCTTGTATTCTGGGGAAAAGTTTGCTTAATTTTTGCAGTCAGAGAAAGGAAGTAATGTTTCAAATCACTGCCGGCTTTTGCAGATTTTCTCTTTTTATTGTATTTCACTGGGATAGGTTAGCTCAGTCTCACTTGGCACTCACTTTTTATAATCGAAATCGTGATTTCAAAACAGCAGCTGCGTCAGTTCGTCCCTAATTCCAATTTTTTTCACCGTTTGTTTTATCTTTAATGTATGTGAACCAATTGTATTCATCAATAAACGGAACAATATAGTAATATGTAATTAATAAGGATCCTGGTAGCTGCCCTTTTTTAGTTTAGCATCTTCGAATAAAAGACTATATTAAAGTGGTATTGCGTGCGGTTATTGCTTTGCAAACGAGTTAACGTAAAGAAAGATTTTATTTTTTTAGGATTTTGGTGGTTTATTGGGAATGTCCTTATAATTTTTTTTACTGCTGTTCAGAACAAGACATGAGTATTAAACTAATGAAGCAGCGCTGGCTAGTGGAAGAAGTGGATGACAAAAAAGATTCAACTGAAATAGTAAGCTTATTTGGGGAATTAACTCATTTGGAACAAAAGGTTTTCATTTCTGTCAAGATAGTTGTAAATAAAGGTGGCAGAATGTATGTTTTTATGCAAAAAGCAGAATCTTGGAGAATCATATTCTTTATGAAGCATGTTCTTTATGATTCTTTATGATAATGCCATGAAGAAGACGTTTGTCTGTTTGTTCGGTAATGGTGTTATTATATGATGAATAATGTAATTTAAAATGTGTAGATATCAGGTTATATTTCAAATTGATGAGATTACGAAATATTTCCACAGTTTTCTGTATTATCGCAAAAAAACCACTCTGGTATCAAATATTTAAATCGATATGATTTCGGTATTTTAAGCAAAAATTTATGTTGTATTTTCTTACCGAAGTTTCTTTTTGCTATAAAATCCATCAGTTAGAATTATGGATCGATTATTTTTAACAATCAACTAGAAAATAACGCGCCGCACAGCGTTACTTGCAATCTTATTCCGATATTGTGCATAAATCAATATTGAATGATTAAAAGTAATCAATCCATAATTCCTTGTCTTGAGTTAGTTGCCTAGATGAAGGGAATATTAAAAATTTGTCTTCGATTTGAGCGTGAATTTTACTTGACAGAGACGAAGTAGCAAGAATTGTTTTAGCAGTAATTTATACTTTGCATACATAATTAGGTAGCAATTACTGAAATTTTAGCATAGTAGAGATTTTTTTTAAATCTGGAAATTTTTGATTTCAAATCTTTTTCTAGGTCGACATGGATGTCGATGAAAAGGACGAATATGAGATCATTTCGGAGATGGAAAAACCTTCAAATTTTCTCGGACAAAGAGATGTAGAGAATGAAGAGCCAAAGGCGATCGGAATCAATATGCATAGTCAGGGAAATGTTGCGAGTTTGGAAGTGAAAAGGCCTTCCAGATGGGATGTCGGAGCACCATTTTGTATACAATTAAATGATGCTTTGGCGTCGAACACAAATGAAACCGTTGGAAAAAAATGTACTATTGGTTTGGATGAGGCGCGCAATCGAGCTTATAACAAAACGACTAGTGAAAATGAAAGGGAAAAGATTTCTATAAATGATGCAGATGTATTGAAGAGTGCCAGTATGATAATAGAAGATTGTACTAGCCAAAGTAATAATTGTGTTGACATATCGATAGATAAAATAGCACTTCCATGTGATCCTTGTGACATAGCTTTGCCGCCTGAGCCATCTGAACTAAGTGATAATGCTAGTTGTACACTTTTATCTCGGGCTACAGAGGATAACTTTGCCTCCGAAGCTATGCTGGACAAGGGAAAAGTAATAATTAAGTGGAAATTCACGAAAACACCAAAAGAACTTAATGCTGGAGATGTGAAGATTTGGGAACCGGAGGTTGAGTCACGCGAATTGCCGAAATTATATGCTGAAGAACAGACAAAATCAATGCTGAGATATGCGGAGAATTCACTGGATGTAAGAGCTGTTGCTGAAAGTTCAGATTCTGATACAGGCAAAAATTCGTTACGCACCAAGTTTTTAACTCAGCATTCTGCAGAACTTAGAGAAATAGTCCTCCCATCAAAGCCGAAATCGAATATGCAGTTGCAAAGTAGTACTGCTTCACCAATCGAACAGGATCAACCAGATTATGTAATACATGAAATGCAGTTTTTGGAAAATCAATGTGTAAAGAAAAAGGCGCAGAAAGCAAGTGAAGAGCAGTCAACGTCAAGCAAAAGTCTGGGATCAAACTGCAGTAGTGTTTCAGAAAGCGTATTACTCTGTCCAAAGTTTCAGTATAATAACGACTTGGAAACGAATTCGATATCTTTAATGGGTAATGAAACTGCGATAACTGCAGAAGCCAATGTGCAAGGAACAGTCACATCATGGTTTACAATGCATTTTCCGCAGGAGCTTCAGTTAAAAGAAGCAAAACTACCATCGGAATCAGTATCTTTTCTTCAGCAGCAATGGAAGACGGATGCTTACAAAAGTGAAACAAATGGAGAAGGTGAACAAGAATCTTCAGTATCCTCTGTTTCATCAGCAACATCGATTTCTATGTGTTCCTATAATTCTACTCCCAAAACACTTCCTTCATTGGATCATGGCCATCTACGAACTGCTGAAGGACGAAAACAAATCCTAGAAAACGTTGATACAGTAAATATACCCACTGATTCAACAGGTTTGGCAAACGAGGAATCATTACTACCGGAAGCTGCACTGACTTTGACTGAGAATGAAAGGGAACTTCATATATCATCAGTACAAGTGCAGCTGAAGCCAACCAGTCAACCTGCACACTACGAACATTTGGACGAAAATATTGTACTTTGTGATGAAAGCCTAATTAAAGAGGCTAAGGTAGGTAGCAATTCCTTCAGTTTTAGCCAAGGTTGCTGTGAAATTTGCTTGGACAGCGATATATCCAATGTTCTCTCCATACACTAATTCATATATTTGAAAGTTAGACTTTGCTTTTTCTTTTTTGAACAATGGAAAGATCACGAAGGAGACACATTCACTTATTTACCACAGGTTGTTCGTTGTTTCTGTGAACCGACGTCGGCGGAAATAGCGGAAGGCCGTGGTTGCAGTTCCGGTTGCATTAATAGAGAGCTGTACACAGAATGTGGATCACGGTGTCCAAGTGGAGTAGGGTGCGCTAATAGGCGGTTTCATAATGTTAGTCATACAGCATACCAAGTTCTTTGTTGACTGAATTTTTTGGTCCAGGATGAAAGTTTAAAGTAAAATAAACTCGAGCTTGATATTTTCAGAAACAATATGCGAAAGTGGAAGTATTCAATGCAGGTGTGAAAGGTTGGGGATTGAGAGCTGCGGAACCACTTGAGCCGTATGTTTTATCAAATTATTTTATCAAGCATTGTTTTTGTCATGTCAGCAGTACTCCTTACCTGATGGGAGTTAAAAACACATATGATTCTGTCTAGTTGCAGTTTCCAGGTAAAATGGTGCCTTTTTTTTTTCGTCATACCCACTTAGTTTCTGAAAATTTCAGTGGCCGTTTCATTATTGAATACGTTGGTGAAGTTATTGATGCTGAGGAAATGATACGTCGTGGAAGAAGGTTATTTGTTTTCGAAATATGACCATTGGAAAAAAGAGGATATGTAGCTAATAGCTACTTCCCGAATCCAGAGAAAGACTTTCTGGGTTTCCAGGTATGGTAAAGACCCGAGACATGTGCATCACTATCTTATGGCGCTAAAGAACGGTGCTGTGATAGATGCAACTGCGAAAGGGAATGTTTCACGATTCATAAATCATTCTTGTGATCCCAATTGTGAAAGTCAGAAGGTACGTGTTGTTTCTTTGTAATGGTTTGCATTGCGATCGATTCAATTTATTTTTTTAGCTCCCACTTCTTTTTTATTAAAAGAATTGTTGGCTTCAAGGAGACTGAAAATTTGTTTTTTGTGAGGTCATAAGATTCCAATTTGAATGCCTTTTTTGCTCTGAAATATTTGTTGGAGAAATTCTCGTAGTATTAGAAAATTGTGAATTGCCTTTTTAAATTACAGTTGTCGAGTACCGAAGTGCAATGCCAAAGTTGGTGAGTTTTCCTGAAATGCGCTTGCTATGGATTCTGCGAAAAGATGATCGAAATAATATGCTGAAAATGCACAAGAGTATCGAGACAACTGTAATTTATCAAGATGACTTTGAAATGAGTAGCTATAGGTTAGTCATAGGTAGTTTAGTTAGGTATAAGATATTTTCATTATATGTTAGAATTTTTTGTAAAATCACCTCTTCCTCTTATTCGAAAAATCCATTTTATCTTTTAATACGATATTTTGCACCGTCAATTTAGATCATATCACGCCTTCATAAATCCAATAAGAATTTTCATTTGTTTTTTATCATGCACTACTTTGATCCCACCAAAGTTTTTTACTTTCCAACCCTGTGGCAACTAACATAAGTTTTCGCCTCTCTTCATGAAAAAGAAATAAGAGTGAAACTTTTGTAGTACGTGTGGAAGAAACAACTTGTGTTAATTACTATGATGTTTGAAATTTGAGCCAAAAATTCTCTAACAGGCTTTTTCTCTACAGTTTTATGAATTCATTTTTATGGTTGTCTTAAACAGATGTGTTATGTGTTAAGACGGATGTGTTAAACAGACACTAGGATTCTGATGAGTGATTTTTAGATGGTTTTTGATAGATTATTTGATGAAAATTTATTCTTAAAAAAAATGATTGCAGTGGACAGTTGATCGCCAGTTGAGAGTGGGTTTCTTCGTGATCAAGCCAATTGCCTTGGGAGAAGAAATCGTTTTCGACTACCAACTTGAGCGTTATGGGTAATTTGTTATTTCATGTTCCATGTTATAATCTTATGGGAACTGTTCCAAGTTAGTGTGCGAGACCGTTTCACGTCTATGCATAATAAGAAAATTTCTTGCTTCACTGCAAGTGCAGTTCTGCAAGGAAACGGTCATAATGAAATGAATCCTAAGTAAGCAAACAATTTGACGAATATAGGAATTCAAACATTTTCTTAGTTTGCAAAAAATTGAAATGTGAATTACATTATTAGAAAGTCTATTGAATTTAGGCGGAAAGCACAACGATGTTTCTGTGGCGCTGCAAATTGCAGAGGCCGAATAGGTGCTGATAGTGAGGGCGAAGAAGGAGAAGAGGACAAAATCAGTGATGAAGCCGAAGTTGAAGAAAGTGAAACAGATGATGAAATTCCATTGGCCAAGCGCAAGTTGAAATCAGAGAAAAAGGAAAAAAGTTCACGCATTTCCAAAAAGAGGAAAAGGCAACCATCAGCTCAACGCTGCAATAAGGTGTTTTTGTAGCAGATTTTATTAAATCATATTTTCTTTTTTCAATAAATTTGTTTTTTTTTTTTTGTATTTTGAATATTACAGTGGCATGTTTTAGGCAATAGTGAATGCTTTGTCTCGTGGACCTCCTCGAAACCGTGCTCAAGTTCGTGATCTCGTCAGATTAATGGTACAAGTAGAACAGGCACCACAGCGTTCCTCTTTAATACAATGTATCCGATTTGCACATCCTGACGTGCTACGGCTTTTTATTCAGGAAAGTGGTTCGTATTGCTAATCATACTTTGAATTAAGCTCTGTTTTTTGCATTGTTAAGCTGTGCTCATAAGGTTTTGTTGTTTCATGTTTTTTATCCAAAAATTGGAACACAATCATAAAACATAACTAAGGCATGATGTTTGCAGGTCTCAGGCTTTTATACGTATTCTTAGCTACCGATTACCCGATTGATGATGAACAATCTGTTCTGCAGTTGCAAATCAAATCACTTGATTTGCTGGACGTTATGCCTATTGTGAATAAGAATCAAGTTATCGATAGTCATTTATCTTCAACTGTGGAAAAAATTGCTAACAAAGTGAGTCTTTAGTTTATTTTTTCTTCTGTTTTTTCTCTGATATTTCTCTTTCTTTCATATAGGCTCTACACATTTAATTAACATTCTTAGAAGAACCATTCATTTTGCAGAGAGGTCCGGTAGATGAAGTTGTGAAAGATGTCGTAAGGAGATTAGTAGATGCACTCTGTTGTGATATACCTTCCACCTCCAAGTGTCCACCTTTAACACTGTCAAGAGATCCAGATCCTGCAGTAGAAAGTTTGCACTACGAAATGGTTTCAAAAGCTGCGAAATTAATGGAAAAGGTTGATCATATCAAATATTTCGGTGCTTTGTATATATGTATATCATCCTCTTTTGGATTTATTTCCAAATTGTATATTCCCGTAACATGTATGTGTTTAAGTGGAGGAATTTGCGTGAAGAATATCGAATCCCACGTCGAGAACGCACAGGATCTGTTCCTGCTCAACATGATATCAGTCGTTATGTGCGAGTAAGTTTGTTTTTTCCCTTTTCTTTGAAATTTATTGTTTTTGTCGGGCTATGTTTGAGTATGCATATTTCTGTGTTCTTAAATATACGCAATTGCATATATTTTTCTTCCAATTTAGAAGACTGACGAGGATGAAAAAAGCAAACGAGTTATAGTAGACAAGAAAGATGATGGCAGTACACTGTGGAGATTAAATGGATTTGGACCACCGCCCAAAAAGCGATGTTTTGACCGGCGTCGTTTCTCCAAACGTAATCTTTTTTTGAATCCTAGTAAAACTTGACATGTTCATGTATTTGATATTTTATTGTACTTTACATTTATTATTAGCCATCACAAAAATCTATAAGTTACTTCAGCATTTCAAAGCATGTATCACTTCATATGGTTTGAAAATTTACGCTCAATTGAGTTAATTAGTATTACAGGCAGAGCTTTTTAGCAGGATTTTTGGTATGTTTTAGCTGATTTACCAATTTTCGTCAAAGACTTGACGCATCTCGAAAACGAGGATTTCAAGCAGTCACCAATAACTGTGACCGACTCGTCGCGCATTAATGAAGATGATGAAAGTGAAAACAGACCGAGGAAGCGTCGTTCACGGTTTGATATTGTTGGTGAAAGAAATCCATGTTCAATGTACGAATTGTATGCCACAGATTGTGACTTCTACACTCCTCCACCGCCAAAGCTTCTTCCTGAAGCATTATTTGCTGCTGGTTTACCAGATTCAATAAATTTTTCATACAATGAGCATCCTTTTCCTGAATTTTTCGACTGGAACACCGTATATGCAAAATATGATCCATCCTCCGCTGCTTACCAACAGTTCATTGACTATTATCAACAACAACAGTATCCTATGATGGGAATGCTACTAACTCCGCAGGTAATCTATATTAATCTGGTGTCAACAGCGGTACGCTCATTGCAATTTGCTTTAAATGTGATAATGATCAAAACAAAATCTTTAAATTTCGTGAATGATTTTGTTTTTGAACTCTTAATTTTGTATAATCAGTTCAATTGTTACAGAGCACGGCAGAAATGACTAATATATTAGACGCGCCCTCTCCACCACCACCAAAACTACCCAAAACACCGGAAGAAAATCCAAACATGCTAACAATTGGTCCGATCGATATTGAAAACCCGACAGACGAAGATATCGAAATGCTTGAGAAAGTTGGCTTTTTTAAAGTTGTGCTAGTCTCCAGTTTTCCTTCAGCTGAGCCAAACTTTCAAATGAGTGGAATAAAACTATCAATCAATAGAACTATTTCAGCATTTGGTAGCGCTCAAGGTAAAACGAGCAGAAATCAGAAAACGTTTGCAGGAGGCACAAAAAAGGGCTGCACAGGAATCAAATTACGTGAGTGATGTGCCACCACCTCCTCCACCTTCGCAAACTAAGCAATCTTTGTGGATACAGGCTACGACGGAGGAGGGCACTGTTTATTATTACAATAAAGAAACCAGGTGTAGTGGCATTACTTTAAAACTATTAATCATATATGTTAATGACATCTACAGTTCTATTTGTTACCAAGGTTATTTTTAACCTTTGCTATCAAAACGTTTTAGATTACCAAGTTTAAATGTTTTTGACCTTTGCTGCTAAGACTATACTGAATCCTTGAGCGATGTCGATAGACATTTGATGGACAGTGATTGTATTTCACGTTTTCTGTGTTATATTTATTTGGGCTTTTTATGCCTATCAATGATCAATATAGGAATGAAAAGTAGAGTATGTAGAAGTCAAGGCTCTCGAATTTCGAAAAACAATGAATTTTGCCTTTATATAATCTATTTATTATATATAATCTTTTTAGGGAATCCGTCTGGACTTTGCCCGATGAATTTGAAGGTGGAAATGCTTCGGCTGACACTACAACTGATCGTATTGATACGCGTGCGACATTCAAAGTTGAGATAGTGAAATATGTTGGCGGCATGTTAGAGCCAATTCGAAAGCTGAAATTTGCATCAGCTGATGATTACAAATATGTCTTACGGAAAGTAAGACTAGCTTGAGTTTTTTGGCAAAATTATCAAGTTGTAGAATTAAATCTTCTATCGAAACTTGCCTAGGGCATATGTACTTAATTATTTTGCTCTAATAATATACACATAGAAGAAATATGATCATTTATATAGAAATGTTCGCATATGAAAAGAAAGCAGCACCGTTATTTCACACGTGTTTAATTCTGCTTAGACTTCAGCAATGCTTTGTTAATTTTTTAAAGCTTAAATTAACTTCATGCTTTCTCCTTAATGAAGTGGCTAGTGCAAACCGTATGATTTGCTGAGTAGTTTTTTGTTCATATTGATGTGCTTATGAGAATGAATATACTAGTACTTTCGGACTAATTATTTTGCAGTTGACGCACACGATATTAGAGAAAGAATTGAAACGAGTCGGTGAAACAGAGCTTAAAGTCACAGAATCAGTACGAGATAAAGCACGGAAGTTCGTGGCGGAATATTTGGCACGGCTTGGTGATGGCCAGTACTCACGAAAAAATAAAGTTCATAACTCATACTGATAATACTTGAAATGTGTTATATAGAATTGATCATTGGATTATATTAAGAATGAGTTTTGAATTTGTTTATGCCGAAGCCACTGTGCCATCTTTTATGTTAATTTCATAATTTCCTGAAAAAAAGGATAGTTTTCACAGACTTCTTGAAATTCAGTTCGGCAGTATCTGTTCGTACTTTCTAAATAACTAAAACATCAGATTCTCTCTTGTTTATTAGCTGTAGGGTTTTTAACTTTGCTATTTGCGTGCAAAATATTTTGCCTCTCTGAGTGCATGTATATATGTTGGAGCTGTAAAGCCCGGTGTGGTAGTCAATCATACCTCTGTCAGTTGGTTCACATTTTTGTTTCATTTCTTAACCATTTCCTGTTTGTTATACTGTTTTCTGGCATTTTTTCGTCCATACTGCCTGACGTGCAAATCGTTTTTTTCTTTCCGATTTTGTATTCGTCTTGGTCTTTGAAGATCGATAGTAAACTTTCAGAATCTTCTAAGAACTGCTTCAGCATGTTATTATATTATGATTACTTCAATTTATCATGCGATACTTATTTGTTATAGGGATACGGTTACATGCTGGGGTAAGTTACTAAAAGACAAATCATTCAAATTATTTCATTGCATCGCATAACATTTTTATAAAATAATTTGCTATTGAGGGGGACATAGCAGCAAAAAACTAAAGGAGAGCAAAACTAAAAAGAGCACTTGTGGGGGAAGAATTTCATGATTTTCATGGCTCCATTTCTACTCCATTCAGAAAATTCATTGAGTTTTAGTGCTTCCTCATTTTGTTGAGGTTAAATTTCCATATATGCACGCAATAATAAATGCAACTTAGGTGAAATATTCGAATTTTCAGTGCTGCTTGTCATTGTTTCATTCGTTCATCGTCTGTTGTTCTTTGTGTCCTGTACAATGACGAGGTAATACAATGATCTTGCATTTTTCTTCATTGTTGGATTTATTTTATTAAATAAATGTTGATTTTTCTTCGACTCATTTATATAGAAAAATAAATCTTTACTGGGTCTCATCCGTCCATAGTTTTTAGTTTTCTTTAACTTACTTTTGCGACATCAACAGTTGATGGTATTTTTTTTTGCTCGGCAAAGGGACCACGTGATAAGCACTTTGAACATGAGTTACTTCAGATACATAGTTTTGAAATGATCGTCCTATTCAAAGCCAGGGTTTACTTGTGTGCAGTAATCTATATATTGACTCTCTTGAGAGGAGGGAGGATATTGCTGAAAGATTCCCAAGTTAAATGAATTTTGCGCGCGATCGATTTGGTACCACATCCGATAAATTTCAGGCGCTCTCATCTATAACGAAGGGACTTATGAACCGAGTAAAAATACGTCGTGTTTTCCCACGAAACAGATTTTATGTAGGATTGTTACTGGACTGGAAAGAGAGTGTGGATGATCGAAATTTCCGTTCTGTTTTATGTCGAGCATTAATCAATTTGAAAGCATATCCTTTGCATATTGCTACATTTACAGATCTCAAAAATATTCGAGGTAATTCATTGATTCTTCTCTGCAGAAATCATGTCTTTGATTACAGTACCTGGTTGAGAAGGCACGCATTGAAAGAGCAGCCACAAACATACAACTGCAATAGTAACGGTGCACGTCCTTGATCGTAATGTAAATCACAGCCCCATAAAAATAAGTTGTTTTAAAAATAAAGAAGATAAAATTATTATTAAAAATTGATCAATCCTTTGATTACTTATTGACGCGATGGTGCATACTGCTCTCACATATTCTACTTTTGCTAAATACTCATACCACTGATCTTCACTCATACAATTTGATTCAAGTTCCAGGTATTGGTGATCAAATAGCTCGAAAGCTTGAAGAAGCGTGGAATGTATTTTGCTCACAAAATTTAGCTATGCCAAGTTTAAAACAGATCGATCAGATGAAAAAAGGGGAATTCCTGCAATTCCTCAATCGTTCAAATTTTCTAGAAAAGAAATCTGGGCTGCCTCAAACTGAAGAAACAGTGCATGCGGATAGTGTTAATCTTATCAAATCAAGGAATGTTAAATATTTGACTCAGTGTTCAGATGTTGAGAATGTGATGCCGAGTCGTAACCATAAACGCTTTGTTAGGACAGTTCAACCATTACAATTATCGAGGAGAGAAGTAAAAGTCATTCGAAGACCTGGTGCGCTGAATATTAAAATGATAGATTACGTAGCTGACAACACTGGACAGATTAATCTGGTCACCGATGGTGATAAATCGGAACAAGTTTGCACTTCATCACAGGAATATGATAGCATTATCTACCATCCTTCTGCATTTAGTACTGCTCAAGTATGATCCCACATTTCAATTTTCTTAATCTATACACTATTTTTAAAGTTACAGAGGACTGAGTTGTATTTGTTAACTACGATTCGTTTTTTCAGATAATATTGATTATTGACAATCGAGAAAGTGCCAATACGAGAAAATTCCAGCAAATGTGCAACTTGTTCCAGAAAAAGGCCAGTGGTAAAACTCCAGAATTGGTCGTGAAAATTTGCTGACTACATAAACTTCTAATATCCATGAAAACTGAATTTAAATTTGATTTACTTTCCTAGAACTATCGGTATGATCATCGTTAGGTGCCATATGATCATCCATGTCTTTAGCTTTAAATTTTTCGCTGAATAAAATACACCGTTGTGCATTTCCACCCAAATACTCGGTGAAAAATTTCGGCCCAAACTCCCGTAATTACGAAGTTGAACGCTAGAAATGTGCTACAAAGATTATTCATTTGTAGGGGATTTTTTACGAGATGCGTTCGTTATCTGTTGGTGATTACTTATGGATAATGCGTATGTGTGACGGCACAGAGATGGTGCTTGATACCATCGTTGAACGTAAGACACTTGACGATCTACGGTCTAGTATCGTGCAAAGAAGGTTATGAGTCTTTCGTTCATTTCCTGAAAATGAGGATACTTTGAGAGAAAAATTACATTCCTTTGATTATCATTAAGTCGTTTGTAATTCCAGATACGAAGAGCAGAAGCGACGCTTGATATCAGTTGGCATTCCTAACATAGTTTATATCTTGGAAGGATCCACGGTTTCCGAGCCTGCTCTTGAACAGGCACTCGTTACTACTCACATAGAAAATCGGTACTTCCTTACAATTGACTTCGTTTTCGCAGCGCCATGTGTATCATTTAAGGGCGAATTGCAGATTCTTGGTTTATCATACTAGCGATGTGAAGCATACATCACTCGTCTTGTCTAAAATTGCGGAACGTTTAATCAGAAAAGTAACTGTCCAAGAGGTTAGCACCATTCATCGAATATCGTTAGCTTGTTCTTTATAAAACAGTTTGTAGCTGACAAAAACATGGAGAGATCGATAAAACTTTTCAGGAAAGCGAGTTTACTCCACTTTTTCTGTTTTCAGCTCTCAGGGATGAGCTTTGAGAAATTCCAAAAGACATCGAAAAAAACCCAGTGCCGTAGCGTCAAAGATGTTTTCTTGCGGCAACTTGTCGTATGTCCACAAATTAGCGTGCGGAAAGCATCACTTATTGTTGATCGCTTCCCATCCTTCGCAACACTCGCAGGTTTTTACGCTTCACTTCCAAAACAACACCGAGCAACAGCCCTTTCCGAAAAACTTCTGGGTATAACCAAAGATGCCAGCACAAATTTAGCGAAATTTTATTCCGAAGTTTGATTTTCGAAGGGGTCTAATTTTCAAGAATTCAAATTCCAGTATATGTTTTTGTCTAATTTTTTGTCTGCACTTCGCGTATTTCATATTCTCATAGCAAACATCTTTTTCACTCTTCCGACTTTATGAATTTCCAAAATGATAAAAAGTGAAATTTCAACGAATTTTTCTCAATTTCTCCAGATTTATAGATTTCCAAAATTAAAAAAAAACGAACACAAGACAAATATCATTATAATGGAAATATATTAAGTCAACATAGCTTCATTACGAATATACTCTCCGAGATCCGCTTGATGTAATACAACAATAGCTGTTAGATTAGCGCGTTTACATTCCGCAGTACTCTAAATGAACATCCTTTCAAAAAACATTATTTATAATGGAATTATCTCACGGCCAAATTTCAATTTTGATTTCCTTCCAAATGTTTGTTAGGATGAAATGTAATCCAAGTTTAAGTTTTTTAAAAATCATAATTTGAAATACAAACTAGAGAAGACTCTATCAGACGCATGCAAGATTGCAAGACGCTTACTGTGACTTCTCAAGTCGTTTATCGCAAGTCAAATATGCATATTTAATAAATTTGGCAAATCATGTTATACGAAAACTTTGCTTCTACTTCGAAAAAAAAACTTAAAGAAAATTCATTGTACCTTTGCTGTAACTCCAAATCCAAGTGGTAAATCGTTCATATTATACACAACAACTCCTTGGTGCGATCCAGAACCTTCTGTCATTCGATTCATTCCCGACTTCAGTACATTATTACCGTACAAAAATTGCTGTTCTGCACTCGGTTTCACCCATATTTTACACTGAAACTCATAAAATACAAGTACCACAAGTTCCTTGAAAATACTTGCTTGAGATCTAAAAGATCTATTAAATAAGGTACTCTTAAAATCAGAGAAAAGAAATAAATGTCCCGAAATTACATTGGGACTCGTCTAACTTTCAAAATAAACAACTATTCGGCATATGCCAATTCTGATATTTTTCACGACTTTGATCTTCAATTGCAATTTAGTTTTTAAAGATATACTTTGGCATAAGGTGCTATATAATCGAGTGCAGTGATATGCATTCTAAATTTCTTCGTCTTCGTGAACTTGCCAAGACATGTACCAAAGCTGAGCAATGGCTCTCGCGATATACAAGCTGCTTTCCGCATCAGCTTATCGGTGCAATAGTACACTCGATCCTTCAAAGTTTTCTATATTATATAATAATAGAAAGTTTCAATTTTGTTAATTTAAAGCGCCACCTTGTGTAACCTGAAACAGTAAGCGGCGTCTCCTCGTTCAATCAGTGACCTCACATGATCGCCAATATAATGCGCTAACTTTCTAAAAACAATTTCTGTTTCTTCATTCGACAATGGTCGCATCCTGAAAATTACTATAATTAATGCTCCGAAGACATCTGGACTGACACACATAAGCGGTCGCTCTTCCGAACAAGGTTGAAAAGAAGTGATGTCAAAAACCTTTCGGGCGTTTCTTCCGATAAAAAAATGTGAGTAGAAAGTACAGCTGACTACATAATACTTCACTTGAAACATATTTGAAACAATTTATTCATAAAAAGAATTTGACAATTCAAAACAGCAGATAAAGTATAACACGAAATACATAACAGTAATAATTGCATGCACAAAAAGAGATCGCAAAAAATCTTTTTTAATCGGACCAGAAGTGATGAAGCCCATTCAAATGAAAATTCGCTGATTCAAAATCTAAGCAACCACATAATATAGATTTCGATAAATTACGAAAGATCAAGTTATGTGATCGCATGTTCAAGCTTATTTCAGTAACGGAATAAACATGAAAAGAGATCAAAAGATTCTAAATCATATTATTACTTCTTATTTAAAAGATCTCACCGCAGAAACACTACCACTTCTCATCTAGACAGATTGTGTTAACCTGCGAAACCAATGAAGAATCAGCGATCATTTTCCCAGCTGCTGCTTTGTCAACAAGCAATTGGTATGAAGAAGATTTTAGTTTCAAAATCGACTGTGACTCAAGTAATGATAACGCTTCGTGTATTTCATCGATTTCAAGCGCTGGTAGCAATAAACGCTCACAGACTTTTTCATAAGTCGACAGCAGGCAACCTTTAAAGAGGAAAAAATTTTCAGTATACTTTGAAAACAGTCATTTAATGGGATATGCAATATCCATTCAATTATCGCGAAATTAAAACTTCATGAATAGAAACATTCACCAAATTAATCTAAGCTTAATGACGTCATTACAATTATGAAGAAAAAGATAAGAGATTCTGCCCAAATTGTGTTCATCGATTAGAAGAACATTTTTGGAAAAACAGTATATGAAGAATATAAGACGGCGATCGTTCGTAGAGAAAACTAACCCAAATAAAAGAATCGGAAACGTTGATTTTCAGTAAGCATTTTTCAGTCAACAACAATAATTCACCGGAACCAAACGATTTTAGGAATGTATGTAAATCTCAATAAGAGTTACGTTAACCAATTTAATATTTTCTTACTGCCCTAAAGTAACACCAGGATATTTTACACAAATGTGGTTATTCAAATCCATATACATTCCAGTATTTCGTTTAAATCCCAATTTAATATTTCTTGACAGGTTTAATTTAATATTTCTATACTAGAAAACGAAGCTCAAAATTGCACAGACCTTTCTCAATAATAGTGGAGGAGTTATCCTCGCCAGCAAGACGAACCATCGTTGCCAGAAGTATCTTCTGCTGCAGCGGTATTTTTGCCTGCAGCAACGGAGAACCATAAACACTACTTAGCGTTCCAAAGACATTTTGACAACAAGTTTTTGCATTTAAATCTGGCGACAGAGAACTAAAATTGTAAAAAGAGATCAGTGAAAGACAGCGTGTCGCATAGAACACTAAAATAAGTCAAGCAGTAATCAAAAAGCGCTGATAATTTCGAAAAAATTTACTGAAGAAAAAATACCCTCGCGCAACTTGTAATGCTTTCCGCGCATCTCCTGTTATCGCAGCTACTTTTCGAGCACAAAGTTCGATTGCATTTTCATCGCTATTAGTCTTCTAAAATTAAATGACCTTTAAATGCAAAAAGAATGAAAAATTTTCAAATAAAAAGTATTTTATTTTCTTTGTCAACCTCATTATAAAAAAATACAGCACATTAAAAAATGTCAAAGGATACATTGTCTCATTGTTGCATTGGAAGATAACTCCGTTTCAAATCAAGCAATAACGCATGAGTAGTGAAATATTTCTTAACATCTTACCCGAGCAGGACGTTAAGAAATGTGCGTTAGTGTATAGCAATGGATAGTTCACCTATCCTGTTATATTTATTATGAAACATTTACCAGTTTCTTTGACAATACAAGTCGTAATTGAGCTTCAGTGTATGGAGCAAAAACGATCAATTCTGGTACAGACTTCAATTTATGTTTCAGCAACTCCATCATATCTAATGTGTTAGTAATACCTAAAATAAGTTTCGTTCCAACTAATAATAGTTAAGATTAAAAGAGGTAGTAATGAATTTTGTAAAAATAAATGAAATTATCTGATAGACGAATTTAACAAACAAGAAAATACGCCTTTTGTGTTAAGATATTTTATTCCATAGAGAGCTATCTTACGCACTGCTAATGCTACAATTTCAAAGAAACAAGAACAATGGAGTGAGGAGCTGACTATCTATATCCATCAGTTCAGAGAAAGATTGTTGCTGAGACACTTACCAATAAGTGAAATATTCTCGTAAAGGACAGGCCAATGAAACATCGAACAAATAAAATCACGGTCTTTCGGTCTTATGTAATCTATTTCATCGAGTACGATAATACTGAAAACTAAACAAAATGAATAATTTGGCATTTAATGCTGGGATATACTGGGAATCAATATTCTTTATTAGTATCGAAATAGTTTCAATAATAGAAACAACGAATTTTGATTTTAAAAATCATAAAATACGTAAGCTCAAGACAAGAAATTCTGCAAAACTATAAATTACTTACGTATGCTTGTTCATTTTCGTAAGCACTTTGTGAAATTCCATAAACAATTTCTTCGCGGAAAGCCTTTTGCTGGATTTATTACAATCGTCCAACACTGCGGTTAATATATCCCGTTTAGTATTTTCCGAAGCACAGTTAATATATGTAGAATGAACACTGAAAAGTTTACGGTGTCTTAGAGAACTTTTAGTAAATTTTAAAATTGGGGAACTCATAAATTATTAATTCCATAATTAATATTACAATATAATGAAAAACGAAGTAGATTTTAGCATTTATATAACTCTCCACACAGCAGCCAGTGCTGATGAAAGCTAGGTAAACACCAAAACAGACATGTCACTACTGATCAAGAAAAATATCCAAAATGATTACATCAAAACTATGGCATGACTTGCCTGTATTGTGACAACATGTTCTGCAATACTGTTTTGATAGCCAAAGTTTTACCAGTGCCTGGTGGCCCGGATACAAAAATTGATGCAGGACATTGACTGATTATACCTTCACGAAGAAGCTTTTCTAACAAAGCTACTTCCTTTTCTCGGCCATATAAGATCTCCGAAACATCTTTAAAATTTAAATCAGACGATTTGATGTGAGAGTTTTTGGCAAAAATTGCTAAATGTTCGAAAATTTAAAGAGCATTAAAACTCCTTGGAATTCTTATCGCTTACTATTTTTAGGAATTGAGTTCTCGAGATCATCTCGATGCAGTTCTGATTCAATACCATTGACGCGTTTAATATTGCTCGAAGATTCGTCGGATGCATATTCGGGTCTTTTTCTTCTTTTCACCATCTTCAAGCAGCTATCTAACAAAAAAGTGCAAAAAATTGACAATCGATCTAATAATACAGTTCTCTTGCTTTAGTTTTAAAAAGGTGCCTTTCGAGAAGTGGAGGAGCAACATTACGACCTCTTGGAAGTAAATATATCAAACGGAATGTATAATGTCGATCTCTAGCACTACTGATATCTAATGGTGCTAAAGTTGTTTACTGGTGGTTAGAAATTAATAACATTAATGTCCCAGCAGTTATCAATAAATTATCCAAGAAATATAAGCATTCATTCCTTACCAGCTCCCTTCTGGAAGGAATAGCGTATTAATATAGACGGTAAAAGAACATATCAATTGAAGAGTGACACTGACAGAATGACAAGATGACAAAGTATGAAGTGAGATGAAGGAATGCTGACCAGAGTGATATTGCCAGCTGCCAAACATGCAGGCAAGTAAGCATGCAGGTTGACAAGCAAAAATATCTATATGCATATATGCGGTAAACATAAGAGATGTGTATGAAAGTGCAGCTGTGCTGGTTGCCATCAGGTGCATCCAGTCATGTTGTCTCATGTCAATCGATCGATCGATAAATGAATCGATCAGCAACATTTTGTGGTTAGTGAAGTCAGCAATAGAGCATGGTATATATATGCATTGATCGATTGGTAGGTGATGGAGACTAGTTTATAGGATGACTGCAGCTGCCTGCTTGGGGTTGCAGGAGCTGGCTAACTGCAACTCTTCTCCCTAGTATACCCTTTCGAATTTGCAATAGTATTGCGTTGCTGCGAATGTTAGAAGCTTGCTTGTTTGTCGTTCCTTGCGATGATGTATTCCTCCCTCAATTTATGCGGAAAATACGGTAGGATAAGACATGATACGTTATGTGGTGCTGTCGTCTCTGCATAACTCATCATGATATCGTATCATCACTGCTATATTCATGATTGTCAGTGATGTCAACGATGACAGTAGACCATGATTTCAGATAGCTAACATAGGAGCTTTGCTGAATTTGAAAGAAGGACGGAAGAGGAGAATTTCCTCCTCGGAGGGGCTGCACCGAAATTATTCCACCATCAATACCAGCGAACAGCAACAGGAGGATGAGGCTGCTGTTACACCAATCATTTGCAGCGCTCCCGAAACTGAGGCATTTCGGCATTTTTATCCGGTGATTGATGCCGATTCGTAAGTTCTTACTATAATTTTTACCATCATCGCTATTTGTCCAGGTAATCCAACTGGTTAAAACATGTGGGAGATACAGATGGGGTTCTCCGATGATCTTTATATCTTGTTTACTAAGACTAATTGAACTTGCTGTTTCTTTCTACTTATTTTTTACCTTTAACTGTCACCCTATTTCACACTTAGATGGTGATATATATATACAATATGCAGTCGTCTGTTGTCTATTTCATAACATTCATGGACAAACATGAATCAAATTCTTGAAAAAAATAATTTTTAAATACGACCACAATGGAAATGGAATATTAAATACCACACATCACGAAGCTATATTTCTTTTGGTTTCGATATTAAGTCAGTTAAAAGTTCTCAGCTTATGAACAAATCTTATGGAAAAGGCCTCATTTTCTATGACTGGGGAAAAAAGTTCAAGTCAAGCTGAATTTGCATTTATTTTTGGGACCAATCTCGACAGTAAAAGTAATATAATTCAGAATATTTTTGTTACGACACCTACCGCCGCTTAGTGATGAGATGCGTTATCGATGTCCAGCGTTGCCACTTCGGACCCGCTCAACACCAGAATTTTCCCTAGTCCTCGATTTGGTCAGTTTCGCTGTAAACTTTACTGCCCAGCGAATTTCGTTGCTGTAACTTCGTTAATATATAATTTAAAATTTCACAAATTTAGATAACGTCTAAGTAAAGCTAATTTTAACATTGCGATTCTCTGATATCAAAGTTTCTCAAGATAACGAAATGGCAACAAGAAATTTGTAAGCAACGAGTAAACAATGTCCAACTTATGAAAATAATGTTTGCAGGACGAGACACTGGTACATTGCAGTTTAACCGAATTACCCGATGCTTCCTTAACATTTCCGGTGAATTTTCAGGAAAATACCTACCAAGTGAGTAAAAAAAACTATTTTCATTATTGTTCACTAGATCGGCCATACAAATCTAAACATTCCGAGGAAATACTTTTTAAATTTTCTGTCACTCTTCAACTATAAAGTATAATAGAGTTGGGCTCAGCTATGAAGTTCATCTAAAATATTACAAAAATATTGAAAAAAAAAAACCTCATTTATTTCTTGATAAAAGAAGAATGCATTAAAATACTTGTATTTGTTGATCGCTATGCAGTACGAAAAACATGAATATGAACTTTATATTTTGTAATATTTTAAAGTGAACTTTGTAATATTTTACAATAGGTACTTTTTTCATTCAGCAAATGCAAAGTATAACAGTGAGCTAAATCACTACAGGATAATATATATTCAGGCGTAACACTTATGGAACTATTTCCTTATGAGATTACCACTGCAATACTATTCTGCAAGCTCCGAACATTAAAATATTCACTATTGATATTATTCACGGAAAGGGCTATTTAGTCTTATTACTCCATTTGGACCATTAATATGCACATATTAGAATTAGAAAAGCACTACGCTACGAGTGTTAACTGCAACAAATCAAAATGATTATTAATAATAACAGATACTAATAACAAATAGTGACATTGGATTCTTTTGTTAAAATATGAATTTTTGAGAGGAAGCTTCCATGTACGTCCTCAAAAAAATGTTATATATAAACTTGTGAATTCATAACATTTCTAAATTCTGATCCATATATGCTATATTGAAGGTTTATGTCCGTGTACGGCCACATTTGCAAGAATTTTTGGAACGACTGTCGCGCTCATTTGAAATCATCTTATTCACAGCAAGTAAACGCGTTTATGCTGACAAACTTTTGGTAAGCTATTTGAGGTTCTGAAACAATGGATAACGTTTTTTCAGAGTTTTAAGTTTTTTTTGTTAGAGGTCAAAAGAGCTATAAAACCGTAGGTATTTTGAAGCCTATGAAAGGTTTGTATCCTACAGTTACACTTTATTCATCAAATACAAATGCTTCTGTGAAACTTTATATCATCAAATAGAAAAAAAGGAAAATATCTCCAGGACTGACATTGTATTGGTGATTTGCATAATAAATATTCGGTGATTGGAATAAGATTGGTAGAGGTGAAGGAATTTCTCAGTATTCACTTTACTTAATGATAAGCGCAAAATGGACTACTCACTACAAAAAGAATCATACAAATAAGGAATGTTTTAAATCAAATATGAGCCATTTTAAGTTGTGAAACTTTATGACTACACCTAAATTATAAGTTTACGTTATCCCTAATATTTTTACAGAATCTACTCGATCCTGGGAAACGATTAATACGTCATCGACTCTTCCGAGAGCACTGTGTGTTCGTATATGGGAATTATATCAAAGATTTGACCATTTTGGGTAGGGATCTGTCAAAAACAATAATCATTGACAATTCCTTGCAGTCATTTGCATATCAAATCGATAACGGTATACCTATCGAAAGTTGGTTTTTCCAACAGGACGATCAGGAATTATTGAAACTAATACCCTTTCTGGAACAAATTACTAATCAGGTAGAAAACTTACATATCCTGACAAATCACTACAGCATGAGTCTGATTAAAAATTGCAGTGGCTTATGCGACATGTTACTAAGCGAATATGAGGAACAAGCATATTTTAATATTTATTTCAGTTTATTTATGAGGGAAATGCTTGGATGCTATGAAATTAAGAACGAAGGATTGTTAAAATGTATCACATCTTGGGTAAAAAATTAGGGTCTTGCAGAAAAACGATGTGCGTCATATACTGAGAGCAAGGTATCGAATACGCGACCTGCTGCCTTCTCTCCCTTACTGTGATATAGTGTGATAAATGTAGTAGGATATGATTGTATATAATTGTTCATATGGAGTCATTCCTCTGGATAGATTTTTGTAGAATTTTGTAAAAACTTCGCAAATTCCATTTCTTATAAACGTTTTATGATTCATCTCCCGAACAAAACTAATACAATGACTTATTTAAAGCATTCTGATTAAGACCGGTGCTGCTGGTGATACATACATTACTTACTTCTTTTTTTGAACTAAATATCTAAGTAATTTCAAATTATTTATTTATCGCGAAATACACAGCCACTTCAAGAACACCATGGGTTTAACAGCGTCTATCAAATAAAAGTACCAAATAAATCAATTGATAGTTCAGAAAAATCGACAAAACGCAATGTCTTGATTATAAATGGAGACATGGTATTAGAAAAAACGCATAATGCCGAGTCATTACGACAATCATCTAAGTACAATATTAGGTCATCATGGCAGACACACTGTCAGGTCATTCTAACAGGATACATATCCTATTAGATAGCATTTGCAAATATAACTATCGAGAGCTAATAACGGCTAAGAACTCTGACCCTAAGCTGCACCTCGCCGATGAAAATACTAAAAAACCCATTTCAAAAAACACATCAGCAACTCATTTCCTGGACGTGAACGAACCCTCCCTCATTCGCATAATATGTTAACGCGGCCATGTCCCATATGCAGAGACCATGATGCCTTTAACGGATCATTCATTATTTACCATTGAACTAGCTCCTTTTCGATAAGAGATAGTGGACGCTTGTTAGCAAGGGCCATGTATGTTTCAGACTGTCATGACGAGTACTTTAGCTTAAATATGAAGAGGTCAGAAATTGGTCAGTTCCATATAGTATTCATTTCGGTAGCATAATATTCAGACCAATTGAGAAAGTGAAGTAAACGTGGAGCTAATTGCAACAGTTAACATACGTAACGTCATCTTTCAGGTGAGATTTCATTGTCTATAACGAATAGTCAACTATTTCATATGTCCACTTCTGACTAAATAACATAGGCTATGAATGGATGGACAGCTAATACAGATAGCTTATTTTGTTCTTCATATCTAAATTGTACCATCGTTCAACATTCCTTTAGATAGAAACGGAGCGGAGTTAGAGCATAACTTATTTATGTGACATTTATAGAAAATAATCTCAGATAAAGAACATTTCAAAGCCATTTCAAAGTTACCACTATCTATAAAAAAACGAGCATGAAAGCCAATTTATTATATTATTCAGTATTAACGATTCAAAGATTATTTTACACAGATGTTATCTGTTTATTACTTTTGATATCACTTAAGCGGTGGTAACATGAAGACGTTTCCAAGTTTCTCTAGTGTGCAGCAAAAATGAGATACATGCGCAATGTACTCGTACCATAACTAATTGGATGCACTTTTAACTGTTTATGTTCTGCAATATGAAAGAAATAGACAATAACGGTGACAACTGCCCACTGTTAATATATAATTGCACTGAATATTAATGGTGAAAAAGTGAAGAAGCTCGTGCTTCTGTTTTATTTCTACCATTTAACTTTTCGCACGGTCAGTGGAAGAAAACGTTTACGCAGAGAAAAAGTTTTTGGTTATTGCTTCAATAAAATTCCTTTGTCTTGAGAAAATTTTTCAGGACTGATGGAGTATGGTCGTCCGTTATTGGAGAAAATCAGCCCTTATCGCTGCAATCGTTTTTTTCTCATTCTTTTTTTCACTCTACTACTTGCCGTCTAGTGACGACAGCTTCTTCAGGTCATTGATATGTTCTTATCCTTTAACTTAATTACGAAAATTCTGTCCCTGTTACGGTCCGGTTTATAGTATTTTCTTTTACGAAATCGGCTTAACTTCCACTTCATGCACGACTTAGTCGTGCATGAAGTGGAAGTTAACTTAGTGGTGCATGAAATGGGAGTATGTTAGGAGTGCGAAACTTTAACAAGGCTTAATGATAGCACGCCGTATATTAATCTAATAAATCAGAAGATAAACTCAAACGCAAATATTCGAAGCGGAGCTCAAAATAAATGATGATTGCAAGTGAATTCGACTTCCTTGCTGATGGTCGAGTGATTATCGTGCTTGGCCTGGTAGCTCAATACTTGTCAATCTCACAGCTCTAGAAGTCCTCTTATTTTTGAAGGCCAAAGAATACCTCAGTTTTTTCAGGTCTGGACGATTATTCAGAAGTGACAGAAGTCGTTTCTTGGCTCAGGTCCGACAGCACGAATTTGAATTAGGAAAACTCCAATTCGTTGGAGAAAAAGCAAAGGTGGAAGATGGATCTAACATCAGCTCTGATGAGCGCTGTCAATTCATAATTAATGTATAAATTTCACAGTTTACAAGATTCTGATACAATTACTCGAAATTATCGCAAACGGACTAGAAGCAAAAAAATGCAATATATTGCAAATTTTTTCTTTTTGGAAAGCCAAAAAATTAAATAGAGCTTATAATGAATGAATAACGAGAATTCTCTGAGCATTCATTCATCATAATGCATTTGTATGCTGGGTACGCTGTACAAGAACTTAATGGAAGAGCCTTGTAACGCAACAAACATGTTACAGATGAATTCATCTGTAGTAGGATTATTAATAAGCTTACCTCGTTGACTTTTTTCGTGCTCCGGGTTATTTTAAGATTTTTCACTGCTTTAATTCTTACATTAGATTTGTGAAAACTTATTTTTTGGCAAAATTTACATAAGTTAGTGAAGTCAAACATTGTTATATAACAAAATTTTCATTTATTAGTTCTCTAAAATTATTCTTTATTAGTAAGAATAACAGGGCGAACAACATCACTTTTCAGCCATAATTTATGGCTGGAAGGTGATGTTGGTAATTGATTAATGAAATAACTGATTAATGAAGTTTTTTTTCATCTGTTTATTTGAATTATTTGCACTAATACGAAAAACATTCCTTCATTAATGTTTTTCAGTGAGTGTTGTCATCTAGCATGCATCGAATTTTAGAACCGAAATTTTAAGCTACCATATGGAGCCAGACGATACTAGCTCTATAGGAAAAATAAAGTGAAATAAATAGTCAGAATTAAGCAAGTTACGGTTTATCCGTTGATTACTGTATCATTTTTCAGTAAGTTATAAATTATGGTTTAACTTCTCATTATTTAGCATTTCCTATTACAGATGACTAAATTTGCTTGGGACAATTATCGCAAATATGCATGGGGTTTCAACGAATTAAAACCTTTATCACGATCTGAGCACAGTGCCTCAATATTTGGCAGTGGAAAACTGGGTGCGACCATTGTGGATGCGCTCGATACCTTATATATTATGGGGCTAAGAGAAGAGTATAAGGAAGGCCGGGACTGGGTGGAAAACTTTTTAGATCTGAAGGTTTCGGTAAGTTTTTTTGAATAAATCCCATGACGCAGGTGAGATATTTGTAATTAAGAAGCGTAGCATTCGATTCATAGAGAACCTGAGACAAGAAATAAAGGTGCTTAATTTCTAAATAAACTTTAAATCATTTCTTTTCTTTAAGTGATGTTTCAAGGAAGTGTGTCGTGGCTAAAGCGAATAAACATTTCGAGAAAGGATTCCTAGTCTTTCAAGAACATTTCCCCAAAATAGGTTAAAACGACTGGCAATAGGAAAAGCAAACTTGGGGATTGAGCTTTTCTACTGACTTAGTGCGTTTTTTTATGAAATAACACTAAAAATTCAAGAACAGAAATAATAGGACGTTTCTCAGAACTTGTTGGACTAGTGAGTCTTTTTGAGATTAATTCACTGTCATAGTTGTTACAAAGTCAAATTGCACTGAATTTTATGATACTTATGATTATGATGATATTTATGCATTAATATTGCTGTCAAAGAATCTCAATCTTCGCTATAAAAAATCATGCATTTTAAAAAATGATGGAAAAAGGTATTATTAAAAATGGGACCTTCGTAAAGCAAGTTGTTGTTCTCGTGTTGTATCAAATTGAAGTGAAGGATTTAATCATATATTTTATTTATTTTTGTAATTATTTATTTTAAATTCCTTTTTATTTTCAGATTGCTGATATATCTGTCTTTGAGACAAATATCCGTTTCGTTGGGGGTTTGTTGGCTGCTTATGCGTTAACTGGAGATAAGGTAACTATTTCATTTTATTCACTGATCTAGTCATTTGTGCGAATGTTTTCTTTAAAAATTCATTTAAGAAATATATATTTTCTCACTTCGTAGATAGTGTTAACAACCCTTTTGCCCATGTGATGTAATTTGAAGATTATCGAGACAGTGAATTCATATATTTTTTACAGATGTATATACAAAAGGCAACTAATGTCGCAGATATATTGTTACCAGCTTTTGAGACACCAACTGGTATACCTCACGGACTTGTTAATCCTGTTTCGGGTCAGTCACATAATTGGGGTTGGGCTAACGGCGGTTTTTCAGTATTGTCGGAATTTGGTTCTTTGCAGCTGGAATTAGATTATTTGTCCCATCTCACTCAAAATTCCGTTTACTCTAATAAGGTTTGTTTTTAAATACTGCTATTTTGCTAATATAAACTGACTGTTTGATAATATATATATATATGTTGGGATAGGAGTCATGATTTGGAATTCTAGAAACAGTACTGAGTATGTGTACGTTGCATTGACGCAGCTACTGATGTATGTAATATTTGCATTGTTTTATGAAAAAGATTGTTGAGGACATGTTTGACCAGTTAGACATTTTGCAATTCGAGATTTTTTTTAATGTTTCCTGCAAAATTAGTGAATCATTTAATTAAATCGGGTTTACTGATCCTTTGTCCAGTTGCACTTTCTTTTTGTTACATTTCGCTTTTTTTGATTTCGATTTGCAGGTTGCACGCATACGAGAAGTGATACTTTCTGTAAGGACGGAAGATGGTCTTTATCCAAATTATTTGCATCCAAAATCTGGGAAATGGGGTCCTAGTAAGTTTGTTCTGCGATCAGATTACTTTCGAAGTAGTTGTTTCTTTTCAAGATAGCCGTTCATGTAATGTAATTTATCATTCCTAATGATTGCATGTAACTACATAGATACACCCACCTCATGAAAGAAATGACAACTCAATTGCATTTCATCTGATTCATTCTCATAACATGTTTCATATGCTACAATAATTCAGAATTTCAACTAGTCTTTGTTCAGAGCATGTATCAGTTGGTGCACTGGGTGATAGTTTTTATGAATATCTTCTGAAATCGTGGCTTAGATCAGGTAAAAATGATACAGTTTACAAAGAAATGTATGATGCAGCATTAGCAGCAATCAAAAAATATTTGTTACGTTATTCAAAGCAAAATCATCTCGCATATTTTATTGGTTAGTGATTTTCTTTTTGTTCAAAAGCTATTTGCAGTTTTCATTGTTTTTGTTCTTCACCTAATATTATGGAACATTCCATCTTTCGAAAAAAATCATGCTTCAGAGTTAAAGGGAAAACGTGAAGTACATAAAATGGATCATTTGGCATGTTTTATTGTTGGTTTGCTCGCTCTCGAAGCAATAAATGAAAATGATGTGAAGAGACGCAACGATACGTTAAAGCTTGCTGAAGAAATTGCCAATACATGTCATGAGTCATACATTAGAACTGGTAATGTTTCTGTTTTCCTATTATGTTTGAGACAAACTGTTTTGAAACTTGAATCACACGGAAAGTAGCTTGATTCCAACTGCCAAATATAATTAATTTACAGCCACCGGTATCGGCCCTGAGTCGTTTCGATTCACAGATGAAGTGGAAGTGATGGCGATGAGGGATAATGAGAAATACTATATTCTTCGACCTGAAGTTAGAATTATTTTTTTCCAATTTTCTAATCTGATTAAAATGTATATTTAGGAAAAATATTTAACAAAAAAATCATCTTATTAATTGATTCAGCTTTAGGTGATTGAAGGGTGGTTTTATCTATGGCGTACAACGCGAAAAAATAAATATAGGGAATGGTGTTGGATGGCTGCCAAAAATATTGAAAAGTACTGTCGAACAGCTGGAGGGTGAGTTTCTGATTGATACCATCAACAGCCAAATCCAAAAACTTACTAACATTGTTACATATGTTTTAGCAGGAAAGTTTTCCATTCTTTCTTTATTTCTTTGTGTTCCTCTGTGGGACGCTCGACCTTTTGCGGCGGTCGTAAAAGCATTGAGGAAACAAACGATAGCTTAAAAAAGGTGGCCCTTCACCATATTATTTCCTTATTACTATGCAGTTTGTTGTATATTCAAAATCACCCTGTCAATTTTTACTGCATGCTTGCTTTCTAGAGTGTTCAAAAATTTTTTAATGAATAGTCAATTTGGCAAAGTCCACTGTTTTGGATTTTTTCAGATATTCCGGCATAAAAAATGTATACAGTTCAGAAGTAGTACACGATGATGTGCAGCAGAGCTTTTTATTTGCAGAAACATTCAAGTATTTATACCTCACCTTCTCCAACGATAGTATCATGCCTTTGAGTAAATGGGTGTTTAATACTGAAGCTCATGCTTTTCCAATAATCACACAAACTGAGTTCTGATGTTTTCGAATTATATGTATAACTCATAAGGCTCTTCTTTGTTCTTTATTCGAGTTACAAAAAATTTTTTTAATATTTATTAAAATCAATTATTGAAAGACATTGTTACTGGTAAGAAACCTTCTTTTGTATTTTCGTTGAATTCCAGTGATGAATTTGTGATTTCCCAGGAAGGTACTAGCTCTGCTAATCTTTCGTTATATCTTTCATTTTTTGTTTCGCATGTATTAATGCACTGAGGTCGTGACATCTTACTTGTCTGTGTTTTAAAAATTCTTGCTCAATCATACTGATTAGGATTTCATTTATTTTATAAAGAATTAATAAATGAGTTCCAACACAAACTTTAATAGGAGGAAGTGAATGTGATCGAAATTCGAATGGAATACTTCGATATTGAATTACTTTTTTGTTATATGACATACACTTCAGTTATCTGCTCCTTGTCCCAACGTTAACGTAAGCATATATATATATATATAACTTCCCACTTAATTCGCCAAACATGTACTGAAAATTTCCGTTACTCATTACAATCGTTCGAAAATTCCCCATCCATAAAGCAATCAGAACCACCCTCCACTTTATTTCAAATCAGTGTGTAACTGAAATTAAATTCCTCTATTTGCTGGTAGTCTTTTAGATTCAGCACGTGATGCACCGAAAAAATGATTTTTGGAGATGATTTCATTGAAATTGAACTATCTCGGGGTTCATGCTTTATTTGTAACGAAGAATACACAGTTCAATATACAAGCATGAAGACATCACACTCCGATAGGATCTATATTTCCCAAAGGATTAGGTCGTTTCGATAGACTGTGTCTCTGGGGCAAATGTTTCCCAGCATCTGAGAAGCTGTTTTTGCGTTTCAAGGAGTTCTTGAAGGTATTGCGTAAGCATAGCGTTTATGTCATTTTTGCGCTCCACCAAAAACGTTTCATATTCTGTGCGAATAATTTTGCTTACTTCAGAAAATTCTTTCTCCACTTCATCCACTGCTTTCTCCGCCTGGACTTGATAATAAAGTGATAAAGGTTACAAAAAGCTTAAGAGGTATAATTAGTGTTATCTGAATGTTCACTGTTTCGAGATGTTTCAATATGCACTCCAGTTCTCACTTCGAATATGGCATGGACAAACTTTTACGGGACCCTCACGAAACCAATCACATCTGAATTTTTGAGTCGACCTAATTATGCACTCTACTATGTGCCTTTAAATGCAAGACTATAAGAACCTCAAAAACAGCGACATTCGAGGAAATGGCTGTCATGAACGAAAAAAACATACGCTACTGAGCTCTTCTACGGTTTGATTGGTCTTATCGGTTCGGCCAGAAAGTTCATGACGAGCCTTCATTTCCCGTTTTCTTGTAAGATTTTGTTGCGCACCTTGCCAATTCTGCCAAATTTTAACACGCTCAAAAAAAAGTTCCTGAAAATCTCACAATGACAAGCAAGTTAGGAGGTTTCAGTAAAAAGAATATGCAACAAATGACCATTTGCAAAAGCGATGGACATGAAATAATGCAGACATTTAGGGAAGCAAGTGCCAGAGAATGACTAGATTTCCGGAGATACTACGTGCGTACAATAGTCAAAAAGAGATGAGTACTAAGGACTGAAAAAATAGAAATGGAAAGACAGCTTTAGGCGAAATAAATCATTTTTGCGCTTAAGTGTTGGGTCCGATAAAAGTTTTATTTTTCAGTTTTAATTTAAAACTAGAGACAAGTCCTAGTTGTCTAGACCTTGAACAACGTACTTTTAACGTATAGATGACTTGTAGTTGTTCACTGATTCCTTCAGCGAGCAGTGCACCATCTTTATCTGACTGCATGCCATGCAACTGATCAATATTCTCGTATGTTTCGGTCAAATGCGATAAACACCGTGCAAGACTTGTATTTTCTTCGCATGAAGAAAGCATTGAAAGCGCTTTCGAAAATGAATCTGTTCCAGAAATTAGTTCACGTCGGTATGAACTCAACAAGTCAACTGCTCGAAGCAGCTTGCTCAAGTTCTGTTCCATATCTTCCATCTAAAGTGCTAGTTTAAATATGATAGTAAGATTGTAAAGGAATGAAGAATAAGAAAAAGAGAGCCAAATAAACAAGAGAAAAAACAAAGCAAAAGATTCAAAACAATCCGAATCTTTCCTTAAAAATGTAATAACAGAAACTCACTTGCTGTTGTGCAGCTTCAAACCAACGGTCATTTTCGTCCATATGAAAGGCCATTTTTGAAAAAACGTCACCAACGGTTTTGAACATCCGCTTAACTCCAGCACCACTTAGGGCCACAGTTGAATTAGCCTTAGGTAATGAAGCAGTCACTGTTAAAAAATCGCGGAAATCACAATCGAATACCAATTTTGGGTGGCGTGCTATGCGCCTGCAGAATCTCTGAAGACTTCTAGCTCTACGTTCAGCAAATTCACTGAAAAAGCAAGATTTAAGATTTTCGCCCCATATTTTATGCATTTTATTGCAAAATCAACTAACTTGTTAGTGTTATCGTCTATAGATGCATTCATTTTTGTTCGTGTAAGAGCAGCGATACTTTTCTCAGGTGCTGCCGGTACTAAATAACCTTTGTAGAAGTATTTGTCAACTAATTTTTCATGAAGGCCAAGAAAATCACTGAATCGCCTCCAGACAACGTATTCCCGATCTCCGTAGCCTTGCATGTTCTGCGTCTGCAAATAACAAACATTGTTGGCTAAATTAAAGACGAAGAATATTTCGAGCCTGTTAACATTTAATTCTAAACAAGAGATCTAAACTTCAATCCGTACTTACTGTTGTCACAACTTTATAGACAATGTAAGCGCCCATCCCTTCTCCTTTCTTCTCGAACTGTTTGATGACAATTTCAATCTGAGATTCCGAATAATATGATAGAGGCGCGCACGGCTTTATGTCTGGATCATCAGTAAACGAAAGCTTGGCCGGCACACTGGACTGGGGAAGATCGTCGTCCAGCTGCAAATCGACTGCCGTCATACCGTCCGTATCCTGAATAACTAAGTATCTTCCAAGGAATCTGACAAGGATGATATATGCAAGGAAAGTACAGATATGAATGAGAGCTTCAAACAAAATATCATTATCGAATTCGAAAGAAAAATATTGAATTGTTGAATTCTCTATTAGTATTATTCAATCAGAAGAATTCTCGAATGCTTTATGCGTCTGTACTTAAAAGTAAAAATTCGACATAATTAACTTAAAGTTAAGATCCACCTCTATAATTTTAGCAAGATCAGAAATAGACAGCAGATTCTCTGCATTGTGTTTTGCTGCTCTTTAAACAGAGGAACGGTGGAAGTATTTATATTAATAAAGTATTTAGTATTTATATATTAATATACTGGATTAGACACTCTGAAAACCAAATTACCTTCAAGGAAGCAATATCCTCAGAGTCGTTGAGAGTGTCATCTCCAGCGATCATTTTCTTTCACCGTAACTGCAAAAGTCTGCAATTAACATACAACCAATAGATCAAGAACAACCTTTAACTCGCAATAATTCAGAATGTCCTCTCCCCTCATTCACACTTAATAACGACCATGTCTGAGCGTAATGTGAGCATACTGATCTCACGCTCTCTACCGTTAAATCTAAGCTGGTATTCCGCTTTCAATTTTGGTCTCATTTAATTTCATGAGAAGTTAGGTTACCGCATTTTCCGTTTACATGTATGCAGACGCACGCACGCGCACAGACACATACAAAGCCCACAGGCATATACAGATACACGCACAACACAGACAGACACGTACACACACGGACAGACATATGTCTGGCATCATTTGTGAGTAGAAAAATTATCAATAACATTTTCAGGATGCCTTCGGTACTGTTGAAGACAGATCCATCGCTCTATGAGGGTGCATTTCCAGCATTCGATAAACCGTCGGTGGTCGGAGAAATGTGTGTTACCAAACAGCGTAATGTATTGCCGGGTAGGTGCCGGGCAAAATATCTTCATGAGAAAATTATTGGGAAACGATGTAATTTTGACTTAAATATTGGTTATCGCCAATTTCAAAGCAAAGATGTTTTGCATAATGAAAAATTAGACATGCTATTGAAATGGATACTTATACATAGTGAATCTGGATCTTCTCTGGGAAAGGTACTTTTTGTTATTGCTTTACTCTCGTTTTATTATCTTATTAATTTTGAGAAAGGTAGAAAAGAGAAAAACTATCCACAGAATCATTATTGTATTTATAGGATACTATAAGTAACGAACTGTTCATTATTAATATCTAAAGCTTTGAGTTTCACTATGAATATAGTTTGAGTAAATTAAGATAATTGCTATTTCGAATTAATTTGCAGTGTTAGGAACGAAATCTCGATTGGTAAAGAAATGTGGCAGTTGAAGTATTACTTGATCATGATAAATTAATTTCCTCTCAACAGTATTTGCCATTTATTTCATTTGTTTTTCTTTTTTTGAAAAATTTAAGAATTAGATTTACATCATTTTAAGGTTTGCCATAGAGCCGATTTTATTTGTTGGCGTGGTACTCTGACGCGGATTGCATGTTCACCATATGAATGTCGAGATGGTTGGCGAATAGCTGCTGTTCGGTACAAATCTGTAAATTTCATCTGTGAGTTCCCGACGAATGAAAAAATCCTACAATTAAAGTCAATGTCTGATCGCGACAAGTTGATGACATACTGGGGATTTAAGTATGAACAGTACGTGACAAGTGACTCTTTATCGGTGATCCTTTTTCTTTAATTTCTTGAAGTTTATAAGTTGACTTTAAGAATATTTGAATTAAATAGTCTCTAAATATTACAATTTAGAATTTTCCAGAGTGAACCAAACATAAATGAACCCGTGACGAATTTAGAGGAATTTGATGTTATTGTTAAAGCACGCTTGGGAGGACGAAAGAACGGTTTCCGTATTCTGTATTCTGGTGAGACCGACTGCATTGATGCCGGTAGCTTGTTTTCCTCTATGATTTCGAAGTCCTCAGAATACGTAGTAGGAAGGCAAATGAATAGAATCAAAAGCTACTTAATAGAAGTCTGATATATTTCGAAACATAGTGCTGCGGTTCATAGCTTTGTTTTATAAATTATGACAATTGTGCTGTACCACTTAGACGGGTAGGCAGCTATTAATTGTAAAAAAAACCGCTAAAACTAGTATGAAATGTAAGATTTTATTGTTGTTATCTAATTCTGTCTAAGCTGATTTAACTCTTTGATTTTGTGACGGATTTCTGAACAGAAGGCGAATATGTGGAACTGAAGACGCAGTGTAAGGAATTAGCAAATAATTTTTGGAGACATAAAGCAATGAAGTGGTGGGTGCAATCCTTTCTGATCGGCATACAAAATATAGTTGTCGGCTTTAGAGATAACAATGGTACGTCGACAATTTATATTGAATTTTAACATAGTATTTTAATGGTATAGTAGATGAGAATTCCTCATATTTTCACTTCGACCCGATATAGTTGCAAAACTTGTTACAGGCATTGTGACTCACACTGAGTGGCTCAAAGTGCCACAGCTCGCAAAAAAAGCTCATCAGTGGTCCGCAAATGTTACCTTCAACTTTCTTCTTGCAGTACTAAATCGTTTAAAAGAATTGTTGGAAGTTTCTCCAGATCTTATATACTATGTTTTAGAATTTGACCCTTCCAAACGATGTGTAATATTTCAAACTTCTACATCAAATGATACATTCAATTTCCTTCCGAACTGGTTCTTGCTACATTTTGATAAATCCTAATTAAAGCTAGATGTTTCTGAAGTTACACTAAAAAGATTGCAAATTTAAGAAGATTTGCCTTGTTGCTATGAATGTATAATGTTTTTAATTCTCTTAGAACCGCCATTAAAAAGTGCAATAAGAAATAATTCCACAAATTCATGTAGATGAAAATCAATGTAGAAGGAAGCGATTTTTACTGGAATTTTCAGTACTTAAGATTTAAAAAATCGCAATTTTAAATTAGAAATTCTAAACAGATTAAAAAAGTAACACCATGATATAAGATTCTTACTGCACACAACGTCTTAATTCCAAATTTATGACTGCGAAATCCATGTCAGGCGAATGCGAATTGTATTAATTAGTGAGCTAAACTAAAAGAGCGATATTAAAGCCGCAAACGGGCGCAACGCATTTTCAGCACATTTTTATTTGAGATGGATTTTCAGCTTTCACAGTATGTTTTTCATAAACTTAACGTGATAACATACAGCAGTTGACTTAGTATGATGGTTCGGATGCGATAGCTGCCGATAGTATCGTACTTATAGTATCGTAGTAACGAGATGAGCAGGTAGGTTAAACTTTTCTTGGAATAAAATACCATTGAATCAATGAAAGGGAAAGACTGGACTGACATATACTAAGCACGGTCAAATATATTATTTTGAAAGTTGGTAAACGAGGAATGTAATATGAAAATAACAGATTATTTAGTTTTATAATTTAGGGAGCAGCCTTCGGCAAGGATGAAAAATCGTCCAAATTGCTCTCCAATCGATGGCAATGTGGGCATGTACTGTCTTGTTTGAGCCACTTAATTCCACACTGCAATGGATACACAAGTAGTCTTTGGTAATTGTCCTGATGCAAATCCATGCACTACTCTGTTCTCGATGTAGCCCAGAGATGTTTGATGCCAAATACGTTTAATTATTAGCGAAGCCAGAGATATACAGGACATCGAAACAATTTCCTTTAATACTTAACAAAGCTCGCAAAGACATAAACTTCATAGAACACTAATAAACTTATAAATTGATATTCATGGAAATGGCACGCATGAGAAAAATCAGACCCATGAAATTTTCTCATCCTTCTTATCTTGAGAGGACATTATTCAACCAAAATGAGTCCCTAGCATATGTAGAAATACCAAAGATTGCACTTCATCATGGCTTAAGGTCCTAGTATGTTCGGCAAAATGAACTGCCTGAATTTTTATATATGTTGAAACTGAATTTAAAAAGAGGGAAGTAAAATCACCTCATAATGATAGGAATCGATACAAGAAGGGCACTGTACTAATTTATCACCAAGTGCCAGTGATTGTAAGCAAATTTTACAGTCTTGATTTTCCAAGCGAATAGTCTGTAACACACATTTCAATTGTACCTATTTTAGATCCTAACATTATAAGAAAAAAAGAGTGATGTATGAAATACAAAGGGTAACGTATGAAATATGGTATGTACAATGACACTTCAACTATCAATAAAAAGTAAATTTTTATGGCTTTTCAAATACGAACAGGAACAGTGCTGCATAACGACGTGAAAGTGCTTGAACAATTCGAATCAAAAATTCTCGAGAGCATGAAACTCGAAAATTTTAAAATTTCCAGGTAAAGCAACTTTCTATCATAGAAAACAAAAAAAGTGAAAGTATCCATTCATTTTTTCATTAAAACATACATTTTTAAAAAATTTTTTCCGTTTTATCTCAAGTAGAGCAATGAACTTTGTCATAATAATTTTTAAATAGTGATAAACCAATACATCACAATTTAAAGCATCTTCCACTCTCCTACTTCTACATTTGCCATGTACTTCATCAGAGCAGAAAAGGCAAATCTACTAAGCATCTGACAAAGTATTTTCTAAAAGTTTCTAGTGATGGTATAATTTCAACTAGGTGATGACAATAGTGAAATTCCTCATAAAAAATAATGAAATTCTTTATAATAATGATAAGAATCATTGCTCTTTTGGGCATTGCCTTCTCTCACACTAAACTCAAAAGAAAGACCGTGATAGCTCACGTATGTTTGATGTCAAGTTTTTCCGTTTGATGTCGTCACGAAACAAAACAACCAATATACATCAAGATGCATATAGCTTCGAGATGATACATCGAACGTCAATACCCTAACCATTAGCTATCTTCAAAACAGGGCCAATAAAAGCATAAGAAATAAACTCAGGAAGAAAGATAAAAACTATTACGCTGGACGGAAATATCAACTTGTGAATAAAATTTTATGTTATCCATAAAGAAGATACAGAAGTGGTGTTGCCATTTAAAATGGAAATATGGTAGTCAAGTTAGAGCTCTAGATAATTATAAAAATTGCCGAAGCAAAAGCAATGTTTGGTGGGAGGCATCATCTCGTACACTATAAATTACCTTAAAGTATGAATGATATGACAAAGTGATGAATGGTGCCTAAAAAATTTTCGCTTCGAATAAATAGAAAATGGAAAATACATTTTTGCCAGAGATCGTGACAATCCTTAAATTTTAATTCTAAAAACGAATTAATGACAGACTGACCATGCTATATTAAATTTATGAAAAATGTTAGTTAAAGTAACATGAGCTAAATTAATATAATAACTATTCCCCTATCTCGATTTTAGTGAAAGGAGATGAAAAGGTTACAGATTGCTCTGGCGATAACGATGTCCAGCACGGTGTGCCCGGTTGGCTGCTATTTTTTTCACCACTAGCACCATTTACTTCCATAAATCGCTTTATCACCTACAACTGTTCATTAAAGCTAAGAGTTTATAACAAGTCCTACTCACTACGTCCTACAAGGATTTTCTTGCGTTCAGGACATCACATTTGGCAACTCCTCTGTCTCTCACAGTGCTTTAAACACAAACACAAATGGTGATATATAATAATTTTACTTTGAATAATGATTAATTTGCTGGTAATTTAATATAATTTCGAATTTTCAAGTGTCATTTAAAAATTTTTCTTAATTTTGTGTTACGATGCATCGTATACCGCATTTGTCTGTCTTTTTTCTATCAGAAAGGAAAAAATTCAAATAGGATGAAAAAATGAAGAACTTACATGAGAAAGAACAGAAGAAAAAGTTACATCCGATGTAAGCAATAAAGGGCGTCGTTCGAGCTCGTTTAGTACATTTCTAATTTCTTCTCTGGAACAATATTTCAGAAAAAAACATAAAAATTATAAATGAATTAAAAAATAAATTCTAAATAACTTAAAACATACGGATTCAAATTTGAAGTACTTCCATAAGTATCCTGGAAATGCTCCAACGTCTTCTCAACCTATAAATGGTGACAAAAAATAATAAAAATGAAACATAATCCAAGTGAGATAAAAGTGAGATAAAAAAATCTTAATATAGGACAAGTAAAGACAAGAAAAAAAGTGCAAACCAATTTATTTATTTGTGATTCCGTGAATATCTTTCTTTGTAGTGGAGGAGCGGGTTGTCCAATTGCACCAAATCGACTACCTGCTAAGGCTTCTTTCTCAAAGCCAACCGGAGGACCAATTACTCGCTAAATAATTATTAATAATACTGATCATATTATGAAGAAAGAACATGACTTGCCAAATTCCAATAGAATACCAAAAATTTTCTCTGCTTTTTCAATATTCGCACTTTCCAATTACCTCAAACGTCTGAGATAGCTATATAAAAAAATCCTCTGAATAAAAATTTGGTAGCATACAAGAAGTTCCGACGACGGATCACCCGAACTGCACTCGAATTCAAGTTGTTGAAAATATTTCAAAGCATTAGGAGGTAACTGCGGAGCACAAGGAATATTATCCGGTGGCTGAAATATTTTTCACATCAGAGAAGCTTCATTTAGTATGACATGAGTTAAACTAAGATATAAGATTAAAAATGATGTAAAGCTAACCGAAAGAAGGGCCAACTCATCAAAGCGATAATTTGAATCCACTTGAGCCTTTTGACCATCTACTATTCTCTGTAATTTTTATTACTTTTTGTTTAGTTATCGATATAAAACATATGTCATCAAGGTCGTATAAATCATTTCAACAGAAAAGGAAACTTCACAATTTCAGAAAAAAAATATTGTTTTGTGTTAAAAAACAAAAGAAGCTACTACTTCAAACTACATCACTGTTCATCAGTGAAGAATGCAAGGCACTGTATCAAACTGGACAATATTTGAATCCAAAAAAACAAACATCCAAATTAGCATGCCAAGCTTTGTAATCCCTGAGTATCTGTTCCCACTGCCTTACCATTTGTTTTATATCAGATTTAACCGTTTCATCTCCAATTCTAAAAAATACAATAAAAGCACAAAACATAAAGTGATCAGCATGTAACTGATAAATATCATGCCTTTCATAATAAACGTCATGCCTTAAATTTTAATGCTTCGTCTAAAATGATAGTTCAAATAAAGCTGAAATTTGCAATATGCAATACACAATATACAAAATTTGCAATTTACAATTTATTGTATTTTCACAAGTTAGAAGGCTCTATGAATTTGTAATATCATAGGGCCTTCTAACTTGTGAAAATACAGTAAAAACAAAAAAAAAATGACTTGTGAAAAATCAGAAAGATATCAGATCTATGTCAATGAATTCTATTTTGACAAATCAAACTTGTAATGAGCATTATCAATTCCAAAAATATATAACTACATGTGTAAAAATAACTAAAATTACAGAAATCCATAACTAAATCCTAAACTTAATATAGCAATAATTTTTCCTTGCATTCCATTTGTTCGTTGTAATAATAAAATAGCATCTAATAATAAAATATTTTAATGGCAATTCACATTTCACAAAACAAATCATGTAATAGTGAAATAAATGAACTTCGTAAGAATCTAAAATAGTTGACCTGCTGTGTATTACATTAGCATGCTTTAAAGCAAGTTCAGCTTGTCCCATTCTTTTATTTGCTAATGCTTTTGCTTTCCCCAATCGCAAATCTAATATTTCTTTCTGAAAAACGTTTAAATGCAAGCCATAACACTCATACAATACCAAATTCAAGAGAACATTCACGCACTACAGCTGTAGTACATAGCGCTTATTTGCTTAACAAGTTAGATTTTAGGGATTATAGATGTGTGCTCATTGAATCAATATTTCAGTGGAACAACGAATTTGAAAGTAAATAATAACTTACATAAGCTTTTCTTAACATTGAAGAGATATTAGATAATCTTTCTTCGTATCTTTTTTCCACATCTTTCAATTTCTGTTCTATAAATCTCCTTCTGAAAATTTCAATCGAGCAAAAATTATTTTCACAGTTATGATCCATATTATAGTTGAAAATGACAACACATTATAGCAAAAGCTTTAATGCTTGAATCAACAATCAATATCGACATTCTCTCCCTATATATATGAATGAGAAAAAAAAGACAAATTAGTGTTTTGAAATTATGACACCAGTTAAACGAAGAAATGAAATCTAGAAACGGTTTTACTCCAAATGAAATCTTGCATCTTGCAAGAGCATCCTTCGATCCATTAATTCTGTGTTCTGATCATAAAAATTATCCCCGTTCTGTTGAACAAGCAGCTCATCCTAAATTTACATAAATAAATGAACCAAAAATAAAATCTGAAGCTTTCAGTGGGAAACTCTAATCCATAGTAACTTTAGAGACAGCGTGTAAAAATGGGGATGACGGAACGTTTAGATACCTACCAAGTCAGATATAAAAAAAATGATATTCCTTTTAAATTTCTACTGCGTACCGGAAAATTTTTCCTTCTGTACTCCCAACTTAACCTAAAGCGTTATACCATATCATCATATTATATCCGCTTCATTTCAATACCATGACCATCTAATCACATTCAATTGAAGCACTTTGAGATTATATAAAAATTGGAATAATGAAAAGAATTTACCGCAGATAAACGTTTGTAGATCATCGTACCTCCAATAACTTTTTGGTGAGAATTAATTACACTATCAAGTTCCGGCCCTACTGTTTCGGTTCCATTTAAATATCGCTGCGGTAATCTGATAACAGTAATTGAATACGGATATTTTCATATCTATATTAAATTTCATGGATATTTTCATATCTATGGCTAAATTTCACAACGAACTGAACGATAAAGAAAAATAGAGTACTTTGTAAAATCATCTGTAATCGCAGAGGAAGATTTAGTTTGAGCAACAGAAGCGCCTGAAGTACTATTTAAAGTACCCTTCATTAATGTCAATAAGTGGTCATTATTATTAGTGTTAGATAAAGAGGAGATACTTGGTGACAAAGTCGCATCAGAATTAGTAAGGTAAAACTGCTCATCAATCTGAAAATAACTTTTGCTAGACATTCATTGTAATTATTGTTGAATTGCTGATGAAGCTCTGCTTTTCATTATGGTCCCACTTCCCTAGCAAAAATTAACTAAATTCAATCAAAACATGAGTGAAACTAAACTTGCCATTTGAAGAATCATCCTTGAGCCTTCATATGATATATGAAATATGTTCAACTTTTCGAAAAGCCTATATAACTGCGCATTACTTAAGGAGCTAAGCATCTGTTTAGACTGCAGTGAAATGTTTGATAAGTTCAAGAAACTGACGACTTCCCCTATTTCACAAGCACGATTGCCAAAATTATATGAAAATTCTCTGAAATGCAACATGTTCCTTGAAATGTCTGGACGATTCTGATGCCTGGTTTTATATCGAAGTCATTTGCAGAGTCACTGCTGTTTTAAGAATTAATCTGAAGTGTCAGTTCTTGTCCTCAGAGTTCAATTTGTTTTGGTATAAATTCTGATTACGCAAATTTTCTTTCTTCTTGATTTCATGGACTCAGCTAAGTTACACCGCAGAAACAATGTGATACCGTTTTGGTGAATAAAAATCATATACCTAACGCACTAAAAGCTTCACTCTTCCTCATTTTTCATAATTTTCACATTTCCCTTCTATTATTACATGATATCCAGGTATTTCAAATGCAAAAAAGCTTTTGTGACATGTAACTTCTTGCTTTTGTTTTGTCCTACAGCTTTCAGTTTTTAAATCCCTTTCTATAAATGTTATGAACATTTTCTTTCCATTATCCTTATCTTCTTTTTTCATCCTTCTACCCAGTTAATGATTGCACTACAACTGACACTGCTGTCAGAATCTTGAATGAACAAAGAAATCACGCTCACTGCATAGCATCCCGGATAGTAGGCAAAAGTTGACTAATTATATCATCTGAACAATTATTTCCCACTGCAGCAATGTCAGAGGAATAAGCTGATAAAAATTTCTGATTATTAGCATCATAGCAAATGCTAGATTCATGTGATCTGAAACACGCAGATTTTACTTCATAAAAGGGATCGGTTTCAGTGATTTTGTTGCTTCTTAGAAAAATTATCATGATATGTAGACGAAAAATGCAAAACGGATTTTCAAACAAGTGAAGTCAGCAGCCAAATATGTTTCTTTTCGATCAAAGAATTTAAAACAGTAAAATTCAGAGTATTGTCGCCCACATTCATGGGAGTTTGTAAATAAGGAAATGCACCTTACTTCAAAAAAGTGAGTCTACCCTCATCCGCAGAGGTTATAAAGATATCAACCACTTTTTTTGATCATACTAAAGCTTATTTTTCCTTGCATGAAAAGAAAAAATTCCGTAATCTCCAGAGAGATCAAAACTACAGAAACCCACTGAATTAGCCCATTCGAATGAAGTAGGAAATCGATTTCCAGTGTCCTTCCTTTCGATTTTTTTCGTTTCTTCTTGTCAGCCACATCATTTTGATTCACTACTCCATATTTTACATCCAAATCATCTGTCACCAATGGCATCTTGGAACTCTCCGGGAAAAACTGAAGAAATATTATGATATAACATGTCATAGTCGCGTCTTACGAAAAGTGTAAGGTCTGTATCAGAGATACTATCAAAGTCTAATTATCAACGCCAATATTGTAGGAAGCGAAATTGTGTCATTACAACTACGCCTTTAAGCTATTGTTATGCAGCAAAAGTCATCTCAAGTCATAATGGTACAACGGTAAGACTGACTCTACACTCAACCAATTACAATTACACACATGCCCTTTTCTCGAATGTCAATCAACCTGACTACTATGAAACACCGGCATCTCACGCTGTCGCTGTTCACACGCGTTTGAGTTATTGTTCGGATGTCTTCTGGCTTTAACTAGTGACTAACCATACCTCTGCTTCTACTGGGACAGACTACTTGGTTGATGCTTATTCGTTTAAAGATTTTAAATCTTGAACTTCATGGAAATTATGCTGATCTAAAATCCTTGAAGGAAATAGAAATTAAAAAATAATGACTCCACTAAAACTTTTCTATAATGAGCCTTCACCTGAAACGGAGGACATACCACTGATTTTTACTTTTCAGTTCGAATCCGTCTTAAACACATTCTCCCGAGCTTTCCTTTGTGATGCATTGATTTCCAATAAACTCTTCTTTACATTTAACACCAATTTAATTAACAAGATCAACAACTGGAGGTGCGAACTAAACTTAGAAAAATTGAGACAGCAAAAGATAGAGCATTTAGGAAGATGCCACTTATAAGATGCACTTCAGCTTCAATGCTGTAATGAGGACGAATAAATTCTTCGCAGGAAGAAAGCCCACCGACTTTTATAAAGGAACAAAGTAGGAAAATCAATTGGTTTTAGTGAAAATTTGACGTATGGTACAATTATATCATATGTATTTAGACATAACAATAGCCGTAATAAGTTTGTACCCTGCAAACAGCAAACGCCAACAGCAAACATCCTCCCTCCCATACGGGCTCCAATAAGCTTGGCATATGTACATCGTGTCATGTCTTAGCAAAATCTGCTGCGCTTAATGTACTGGTATCATGCGGCATTTCAAGCCCTGTGACAGACACTCCATGATATTTCGAATTATGCCCTTCGTTCATAATCATTGATACTTCAGATCAGTTGCTGTAATTTCATAATTAGAAATTTATTCGAGAAAAATATAAATATATATACCAGTAATACAGGGACATATAAATGTACTTTGTTATTGAGTTACCAACACATGGAAGCAATAATATTCCATAAAGGCAGAACTTGAAGTTTGATAAGATTACAAAATCTCGTCCAGAATGAGATGTCTCAACTAATAGTAATGCATAAAATACTAGACTGGTCAACAATATAAGACTGCAAGGACAGTGTTTTTAAAGTGACAATGACTGAATAACAAACAGTATATGCCATAAAAAACTGAGCAGTAAATTTTCCAAAGATCAGTCAATAAAATTAACAGCATAACGAGAAGTATGAAGAAAATGTTTTTTTTTTTTTTTTCACGGCAGACTAAATAAAAGTTTTACACTTTTATAAATCAGACCTTATGACCATTATGAATAACCACTCAAATACCTGAATTAATTTCTCACGAAATGATTGGAATATCATACCTACCTTTATTCACAAGATTACAAGTGATAAAAAACTATGTGGACGGAAATCTCGAAAATGTACAGTGTACCTGAAAGGAAAAGACCAAGATGAAAAACTGAAGTGAACTATACAAAGTTCGAAGCAAATCGTGTGAAATAACTAACAATCATTTTTATCAAAAATAGAAAAAGCAATTCGTCAAATAGATTTTGATAGCAGCTGAGATCAATCAAACAGATAAAGTTAGTTAATCCACATTAAATTCAGTCTGGCTTGGAATAGGTTCCATTTCATTTTCATTGACGGAACTTGCTTCCTGAAAAGCTGAAATAAACATCGTACATCGAAATGCTTATTTTGAGAATTTAATTTGACAGACCTGCTTGTGTGAAGGAATGATTAGACATTCGGAGATATCTCCACTAAACTCATTGAAGACACACTGCATTCTTACACTGAAAAGTCCAATTTAACTATGCAGATATAATAAGGGGAAAGAAGCAATCATGGAATTGATAATGGCAGTAAGTTATATGCAATAAAACAATGTAAATTAGAAAATTGGATTAAATTACTTACACAGATTCTTTTGTTGGATCTAAATCTGTAACGAGAGCTTTTTTATGGGCGCCTCTGACTGTTCCGCATGGATTACCATTCACACTTATCAAATACCCTTAAAATCACTCACTGGTGTTCTTGAACTTAGAATGAACATTTTAAATGACCTGAATTCGTTAACAATTCGTTATCAAAATCATCTTAAAACTGAAAACAGATGGAACTAATGAATAAAGCAAACTTGTCGGTTTTTGCAAACGCTGACGATTCTGCCACTGCAGTAATACTTCAGTTTCCGATTTTCGGACATATTGTAACTCATCCGGAACTGGCAACAACTTATTCATGAATTGTTTCTGACGCTCATTACATGCTTCAGCAATTTGCTGAAAAAGAAATTACTTCAATAAAAACATAACATTTTTGCTATAAGTAGTTTAAAAATTCAATACTGTTTAAATCGGAATTTTGGAACCTACCGCCAAGAATTGTTGCATCTCTGCAATCTTCAAAGCTTGCTTTTCATTTTCAGCTACGATTGTTTCTATATTATATTCCAGATTAAATAACTGTTCTTGGAGCTTCAGGATTATATTTGACTTTTCTTTGAGCAATGTTTCAAAACGTTGAATACGCCTTTGGAGGAAAGGTACTCGATATATTTGTCGAACCTTCATACCTTTCCACCATGACTAAAATTTGGGTATTGAAAGATATGAAAATGGCCTGTGAAATGACAACCCATATGTTTGTTATGCAAACAATTTTTTGCTCAAGAGTCCAAAAACAAAGCTAAATACTTGAATTAGTAAAGCGGCTTTCTTCTCCTTTTCGCTATATCTTCGCGCTTTGCGAGCACTTACAAACGAAATTTCGTTAGAATTTTCTGTGAAATTAAAGGGATAACTCGAATTCCGTGTAAATAATTCGGGAGCAACAGAAGCCTGAAACGATGAAATCATTTAACATAGTCTAATATGCAACTAACTGGTGCTTTGAACGATTTTTGGAACTAAAATTAAATTATTAAAATTAATTATAGCGCTCAGTTAGCAGTTAACAAAGCCGCAATTTGGATGCAATCAAGAGAGCAACTTATTCTCTTTGCTTATATAACATCGTGAGAATTATATATCATATTTCTCATCGAGTTTCGAAATCAGTATTATATTGCTCAGATTGGGATTACATATTAAAAAAAAGACATGTACCAAATCATAACCTTTATCTTATTAGGCGGATCTCTGATAATGTTCCTCACCGATGACTTTTGACATCTCTCACTGGAAACATAACCACTATCAAGCAATATTTTTCCATGAATAATAAGTTCACTGCTACTTTTTTAATTGATTATAAGTAAAAAAATCTTAGCTCTTATGATTATTTTAAGTAAGTGTATAGTTATATCTGTTCGTTAATTCTGACCTAAAATAGATTCGGCAGTTACAGAGTGAAAGGACATAAGTAATGACGATATCAAAGATATAAACCATTTCTGTGCCTTATGCACAATAAAAAATTCAATAAAATAAACGGAAGATATCATTTCAAAGAAACCTCCAATTAGACTGATTGACAGCGCTGCCTTTTTTTGGTGTATTGCCTGTTATAACTAGATTTTTGCGAACTTGAACTGATTTACCTTGCAGTCTTCTCCTACAACTAGTCATTAATGCGAGTTGAACAAGAGCAAGAAAAAGAATGAACTTTAAAACAGATCGTGGTAAAGAACTGAAATGTATAACTAACTGAATATGAGTTCTCACTGGAGTGGAAGATGAAACTGATGGAGCTGATAAAGTAACCGTTGAAGAAGAAATATTAGAATTCGCAGAAGTTGGAGGTGTACTGATTCTAGAATATGAACTACGCAATATTGAATAAATTATTTGAAAATACTGCAGGAAAAAAGCGTTCAAAAAGATATCCATATTTGAATTAAGTGTTTAAGTTATCTATTATAAAGGAAGAATATTCTGAAGAAATTTGATGCATGACGTTTTGAAAAAAATTCCAAAAATTAGAAACACATAAAAACATTCGTAAAATTACACCAATAAACATGCCTTGCTGAGAGAGATGATAAATCATTAACATCAACCAAAGGCGCATAATTTTCTTTCTGCTCCGTGGTGCAATAGTTATATTCAAAACGATTCGATAGCGAAGAAACTGATTTTGAAAGCCATTCCCTGTACGGCGAAACGGTTGTTGCCGTTGATTCCTCACTCGTCGTATCATCCTTAAATCGTAATGCATATTCACGTCTTTTCTTCAAAATCTGCAAAAAATTGAGTAAGTGGATGATAGCCTCCACAAGCGTCTTCAAAAACCTCACAGAAAAAGAACATTTTCTGAGTTTTAGAAAGTTCAAAGCAATTCCATATTGCCCAGCTGCTTTAAAAAGAAGCTACCTTCATCAAACGATTGTCATCTGGTGAAAACGAATGATGACAATCTTCTGGACACTCTTTTTCGAGATAGGCACACAATTGAGCATGTGTTTCCATGCGCCGTATTTTTGCATGCGTATGTAGTTCTTCACCTGAAACAATTATTCATGATTCAATACTAATGGCTTTTAATGCTATCTATTGTATTTTAAATTTTTCTAACATTCATACATCTAAAAAATACGGGACATGCTATAAAAAAAGAAATTTCATTCCAGCTATCAGAACGGATGTTCTATAAATGATAGCATGAAATAGAGATTATCAATTTCAGATAATAAATGTAATAAACAGCATGCCTTTAATGATTTCAGTTTCACTAAGTTCCTTTCCGTCAACAATTTGAAGTTGTTCGAGACAACAACAATAAAGATATGGACGATAGCAAAAAGTGCGACCTTCCAAACGAACACAAGGATTTTCCGCAAATACTATGGATCGTATGTTCTTTAGACATAATAAGTATTGAGCCTAAAATTTTAATCATTGCTAAAATTAAGAAAAATAATCAGCTACATTACAGGGATATTTAGTTTACACTGTTATAACATACAATGTGAAATAACCAACTTCCGCAACTAAGAATAATGTAACTATAACCTCTCGTAAATCTGTGATCACATTAGCACCGATATCGAGATCTTGCAAGTATTGTGGCATTGTTCGATGAAGTTCATCTAGTGTGCTAATTTCATTGTCATTTAAATTAAGAGTTTTTAAGGCAGGCAATTTGCTCAAATTCGGTAAAACACTGAGTCGATTATTTGAGATGTTCAGGTAAGTTAAATGCGTAAGTCGATCCAGAAGTGGAAGAACCTAAACAAATGTCGTTTATACCAGATAATCTAAAATGAATCAGACAGTTTGGCTACCCTTATTAAAAAGAAAGGAAAGGTGGGAACCTGGATATGATTATATGCTGCATCAAGCCAGATTAGTTGTATAAGCGCTGCCAAATTATCACAATTGCTTAAAGAATTGTGCGAAATGTCGAGATGCTTCAACGCATCAGCAAGAGGCAAAAAGCTTGAAAATCGCTCCAATACATTAAAGCTAACATTCATCTGCAAAAAGAGATCATCGCATGGGTATGTCTTACTATACTGTGTAAATTTTCAGTTCTCTAGCAAAATAATTCATTATCCAGTTTATTACCTGTTATTCACCAATAAGTGAGCATGATCAGGTAAAATGAATAAAATTCAAAAGTATTGTACAGTATCTTTAGGTAAGCCTTAAAAAATTATTTGGAATAAATAAAACTGGGAAGAAAAAAATCACCTCATAACATGCAGAGAATTTTGACAAATTATTAATAAACTTGAACTGATTATGCGATAGATTGATCACTTTCACCTTTGGATAATTTTGTCGTAAATTTGGTAATTTCTCCAATTGCTTGTTAGATAGATCAACAGAAGTTTGGGTGAATAACTTATCATAATCTTCAACATCTCCCTTTGACGAACTATAATTATAATGTAAAGTGTAAGTTCCAACAATCTCCACATAAATCGGTGCAAACTAAGAGTAACCTTGTGGTAGCCACATTCTGTGCAACTGTGTAATTAGTTTCTTCATCATCCATAATATTGCAAGCATCCAAATTATCCATATCTGCAGGTCAATTAAAAGAAATTGCACACTATTAAAATTGAAAGTCGCGTCCTTCTCCCGTTCTTTTTTTGCTATAAAGAATCGGTGAAACAATTAAAGATATAAATAAAAAGTTTAACCAGTAAGATCTAAATCATCAACCAGTGATAAATATTTACTGAAAGATGAAAAAGAATTGATTGCTGATAACATTAATGAGTCCCTTCTCTCCAAATCAGCGTGACAAACGGAACAGTGATCCCTATTCAACGTGTACCGTCATCATCGTCGCTAAAATGCGGCTGGGAAGATATATTGTCATCCTGGGCAGGGACCCCCGCACTGCATTGTTTCTTCTAAAATGGTATTGGTTTGCTTTTGTATTTGCTTTTCTTCAATCATAAAGATTGTGCATAAATCTTTTCTAATCAAGTTTGTTTAATTCAGGTATACTGTGCAACGTCATTTCTTAGTGATTTGAAAATTTCAAACAGTTATTCAAAGATCATTGTTTGCTATATTACTGCATTGTCAGAGTCATGAAGGACTATCCTCCTTTTTAGTTTTCATTTTTCCAAATTGGCGCTGCTTGGGTTGGAAACTCTGTGACGAGAAATGATGTGAAGATATTAGTTTGACATGAGAGAGTGCAAGATTATTTTCTCAGCTTTTCAAAATATCTCTTCCGAAATCCCGTTCCACTAGGTTCAAGAGATCTAATTTGCCAATAACCATTCATAGCCAATATTTTTGTAGTCTCATTAATTTGGAATATACATATGTAAATGCATAATGTTTCCAAACATTTTTCCCAGATATCCTCACTTCCATATTGATAGCTATTTTGTTTTTTTATTTCGATTTCCATGAAAATATCACTTAATTAAGGTAAATAACCGTCGTTTAAGAATGCTTAATAATACGCAATTAACATTATTCCATTGGAAGTATGAATGAAATAAAGCAAACAGTTGAAAAATCTGGAAACTGCGGAAGAAAAATTACATCACTCTCCCTCGAAATCAGGTCGCATTAGAATAAAAGATATTCGTTGTATTCCATTAAATTTAACTTCTGTTTCCGTAATCTCTTTTTATTTGCAGATCATTCATCCTTTTTTATTGAAAGCTTCCTTTATTTCATTCGCTTACCCAATAAGTTACTTAATGCACCAAAAAGAACTCCGTATATTAAGGCGGCATCGTGGCTATTTGGAATTGCTATCACAACATGAAGAGGAAGTTAATGTAACGTCGGAAATGTATTCGCGACGGTGAATTGGTTTATATCTGTTTTTTTTTTTTTAATTAGTAGTGCAATGATTAAATTTCTATCCAATCATCGGAGAACTTGATAGTGATTCGTATAAAAATTCGGACAATGATTTGAATTTTTAATGAGTCTATTCATCATATTGCCGACAATCACTTTCTGAAAATAACATTGGGCTCAGTTGATGCAATTTTTGCAGATTCAATGCGGTGCATAATATCTCGTTGACTTTGTATTATATTATTGCAATTGAATAGATTGAGTACGTTTCTCAATTTTCTTCTTTAAAATTCAAGCTGAAATTTTAGACTTTCCAGCTACTTCCATTCAAGAATTTTCTAAAATAAAGTTCTAGTTTCATTAATTTCAGTGTCGATGAAACTGTAACATCAACAACGCTTTTCCTTGAATCCAAATTCGCTCATGAATGTCTTACATGAATAGGACATATCGTTGTTGACAAAACAGTTCCGTATCTTTTTTCTCCAAAATTCTTTGTCAGTTTCTCATATCATTGGCATGACATGTTAGCGTATTCAAATTATCGTTCGAATGTAAGGTTGAGATTCCTTGCTACAATGAGTTGGGTTTTAAGAAAAACATGAATATTTCTTTTACACAAAATTTCAGAGAAACATCAAGCGGAAAGAAATTATATATATGACTTTTAGTAACTTCTCGTTTCGAACTGAAATTAGGTTTTCTAGACTTTTCAGAAAATTCCCACATCTTGTTATTTTTCTTTAAAAAGTGTTACATAGTCAATTCCCTCGTTAGTTATTTCGTTGACTTTAATTATTTGCTGTTCGTGTACATAGTCTTCCATTCTGCGTAGTTTTATTTCTTTTTAAATTTGCAAAAATATTTTCACGTATTCCTAATTTTTTATTTCAGAGTTTTTGCAATTTTTTTCTTTATTATAAAGCGTGATAACCGGTGTTCGGTGATATTTTATGAGTCATGTTTGTACTTCATTTCTCCACGTGCATCGTTATCAGCTTTCTTTCGTTCATTGTATTCCAGTTCTTTCATTTCTGAGACATTATGATCTTTTCTTTTTTTGTTTGGTGCCAGTTTTGTCATTCTTTTTTCAGTCTTTTGATTTTAATTTGAAATGAAGTTTCAAAAATTGTAATTGTTTGTTACTAAATAATTGGTCATCCCAGTTAATATGACTTATAGAGTGATGCTATTAGTGATTCCACGATGTAATGCAAACATACAATAAGGACATTATAAAGATTCGATTAAATGGAAAGATTTATTCTGAAATTACATTGAGGGGTGATAAAGTTGTACGGATGGAGAATCTTCAAAATCATTTGTTGGCATGGCATAGATCATTTGATACTGCTGATCTGGGAAGGGAGAAAATGGATTGGTTTACTAATAATATATAATCAAGTTACATAATCAATTAGTTCGCAGTGAAAACTTAACTAAACATTGACTTCCATGAATTTGCAGGAAGATGGTTGATGCTCAGTATTCACCGCTTAGTGCGACTTTGGTGAGAACACTTACTGACAAACTGTACGAGAAGAGGAAAGCTGCTGCTCTTGATATAGAAAAGTTTGATTCATTTTGTCATAGCATCTACCGCTGCATTTAAGTTGCGAATATGAACAGATAAAATAGTTCAAGGATTTATAAAAAATACGTTCTTTTGGTTTGCAAAACTTTTTTGCGGTTTATCATTCATTTTTGTTGCAAATCTCTTACTGTGTAGTCATCTGTTCAGACAAGTGAAGGACTTACTACAAGCAAATCATTTGTCACAGCTGGAAAAGTTGCTCGCTGTACTTAAGGGATTGACAACAGCGCATAATGCGCATGTACGAAAGGGTGGTCTAATCGGTCTAGCAGCTGCGGCAATTGCATTGGGAAAGGTGAGGCATAAATAAAATTGAAATCAAGTTGAAATTGGGATCTTTTGCTGTCTTCTTTAGTGTAGTTATTAATTTTTGTATTAAAGATGTTATTTCACATAGAATTTGTTATTCGAATATTGCAGAACACCGCTGATTATACTTCACAGTTGATCGAACCAGTTTTGACTTGTTTTAGTGATCCCGATCCTCGAGTACGATACTATGCTTGTGAGGTAGACAAAACACTGTTTGATCTGTTATTTAACAACCGTGTACAAAACTGTCTGCGAAAAAAAATCGTTCTTTCTATTGTATGAAGTTATAGAGCAAAAGAACCATATAAATAATTAGATCAAATGGTATTAGATTGCGGAAAATAATAATTAAAAGTTAATAATCAAATTAATAATAAATTAAAAGAAGATTAATAATAATTTACTACCGCTTTTATAAAATGACATAATAGAGACCTTTAAGTTCATGTTCTTGTATTTAGAGATATTGAAAATTTTTATACTATACTCGATAAGCTATATGTGGCTGAGCATCCGCTTCAACTTGAAATTTGTAAATGATAATTAAAGATATAGTGTGATCTAGAAAAATTTTTGGTTTCTTTCTTTCGCTTACTCAATAACAATTTATTTGCAGTCATTATACAATATTGTGAAAATATGCCGTTCATCTGCGTTGTCTCACTTCGATGAACTTTTTGATACTCTTTGGCGAGTAAGTTTATCCATGATTTTTATATGCGGACTGTCTCCTATTCTCAATTTTTTTTGATTTTCTTCGTCTGACTTTTTTGGCTTAAGAACTGATTGTGTTTTCAGTTATCTGCCGATACAGACTTAAATGTGCGTAGCGGAGCAGAACTGTTGGACCGGCTGCTAAAGGTGTTCAACTTAATTCTGAAGACATTTCTTTTTTTTCTTTCAAGGCAACATCAAATTAGAACTACTAATTAAGATAAGTCTGATAAGACAGTTGTAATTATGATATTTCATCTCTCTTCATATTCAGGGTAGATAAAGCTCCATTCAATTTTTGAAAATTTATTTTGAATTTGTAGGATATTGTACTCGCTACGAGCTCATTCGAAATTTCGACTTTAATGTCGTTGGTCCGTGATAGGATATACTCTCAAAACAGCGCAAACCGAAGATTTGTTGTTTCTTGGGTAAATTTAATTTAATCTTTGATCAGTATGGTTGCAATTTTTTCCTGCAGTTTTACAAACATTGATGTTAAAGTAATGATTCACTGTTCTTTGTTTTGAATTTTATTTAAATTTCACAGCTGTCAGCTTTGTTGACAGCACCAGAACTATCTATCTCGACATATCTTCCCGAAGTTCTGGACGGCTTATTCCAAATGTTGGGTGACAGTCAACCAGGAGTTAGAGATGCTACAGAAACAGTTCTTGGGCAGTTTCTTGAACGAATACACGAGCAGAAAGATGGTGACGAAGTAAATTTTACCTTGAATTCTTTGGAAGCAAAAAATAACAATTTAAAAAACAAATTATTTGGGTTTTTTTACAGGCTGAACTAAATGATATGATCAATGTTCTAATAGTTCATGCTTGTGGTGAAGGAAATACTCTCACTCGTATGACTGCCCTTATTTGGTTGAACCATTTTCTGAAAATGCACACTGTTGGACTTTTGCAGTATCTTTCATCTTTTTTGACAGCTGTGCTTCCTTGTTTAAATGATTCACAGCTTAAAGGTTTTCATTTTGTTTTACATTTAAACACAAGTAAGAATTTGGAGTAATATACGTGTAGTTTCACTAACGTGCAATTATTGTAAACATCCAATAGCAGTGCTTTTTTGCTTATAGAGTCACACCGCATATTTTAATTCATGTAATTAGTATCGAAATATTATTTATATTTACTCATAAGATATTCAATGGATAGTATGGCAGTGAAAAAACAATGAAGCATAAGTCCAAAGGTCCTTTAATAGATGGATATTGATATACGTAAAAACACCTCATTTCAGAGATTTCGTTTTACATGTTATGAAATGAATAGCAGTGAAAAAGTTCCTTCCTGAACTTCTTTAAAATATAAAATTCATTAAATGTTATCAGTCTGTTTCCAGCTAAAGAAATTAATACACATTTGATGGAATTGTTGTCGGAGAATGCCGATATTGAGTATGATGCTGTTATTAAAGTACTTCTGAAGCATATCAAATATGAATTTCGAGACACAAGAATGGCTGTCTTGAATTGGATCAGTAGGATGCACATCACTGCACCCGCAAAAGTAGTTTTCTTTTTCAATTTTGTGAATATACTTGTGGAGAAATACTCTTTATTTTGTTTCTCTTCGATACATCGTTGCAAAAATCTTTTAAAATACATTTTAAAATTTATTTCATTTATCATTAAAAATTTTTTAAGTCTAGAAGTTTATGATTCGTGGATTTTATTCATACATTTGAAATGTTTGAGATCCCTACTATTATTATGCTGTTTATTCACTCAGAATACCATCAACCAGTTGGGGATCGGAACCTGTAGTAATCATTTTGGACCGTGAGTGGCAGTGAATATAGCTTTGTTGTTTTTAAAGTCATTTAAGAAAATGATATAGCAATGCATTCATGTATTATACCACTAATTTCTTTCACCAAAAATAATGTTCTTTCCTCTTTTGAGTAGAAAAGAATTTATTTGCAGTTATTTTCGTACATGGATCGTGTATTCCCATTGTTGCTTTCATTGCTGTCCGACACATGCGATGATGTGTTATTGTTGGATTTGCAGTTGCTTTCTGACATATGTGAAGGCAAAAACACTAGTGGTGTTGAGTTGCAAGGGCTTAATCTCGATGAAGATACCTTAAAGCAGGTCTTTTGCATTTTGATTTTATGATCAACTTGTTTTTGTTTTTGCTAGCCGAACTAGAAGTTACTTCTGAAAGGATCATAAAAGGGAAGGCGACATTTTTTCCCTTTTCATTTTTATATTGTGAAAATTACTTTAATGTTTTAGCTTTCAGGCATATCACCATATTTAGTGAAATTTACATCAAGCTTGTTAGCAATGTTTCGAAGTGATACAGCATTGCTCAATGATAGAGGTGTCTTGATCGTTAGGTAACCTATTTCTATTTCGAAAATAGAGGTTTCATAAAGTGATGCTTTTAAATTCAGGAATATTTTTTAGGCAGCTGTGTGTGCTGCTTGGTCCTGGATCCATTTATCGTTGTTTATCGGTTCTTTTATTGAAAGATAATGATACGGAATTCGTATCTCAAATGGTTGCTTTATTGAATGGGATACTGCTCACTTCTAGTGAACTATTCGAGTTAAGGAAACAATTAAGAACATTGGAATCTGAAGTCAGTCTTTTTTCTGCTTCTAGAATTTGACATGTTTTTCCCGTCGCTGTGCATACTTATATCCATAAAGTTTACTATAATCAAAAACGGATCTAATTCTTGGAATTTCTGAGGTCAACTTGCCATGTGATCATCGTGGTCATCGATCATTTAAATCTGTTTACATACTTCCAGGCTTGTATAAATCTCTTCGAATCCTTGTATCGTACATGGGCCTTCCAACCTATCGCATTGCTTGGCTTATGTGTATTATCGCAAAACTACGAGCATGCAAGCGTTCTGGCACGACACCTATGGAAAGTCGATATTACGGTTGATGTGCTTATTGAAATCGATCGACTTGTACAGCTAATCGAAAGTCCTATTCTTTCATGTGTGTTCCAGGCTCGAAATCTCGAAATTTTTATATTATCAAGCTTCTGAAAAGCTAGTTAAATAAAATTACTAACTTATTTCAGATTCAAAGTCCAAATTTTGTTTGATGTTAGGACCTACATTCAAAAATGTTTCAGATGTACGGCTCGATTTATTGGATGCCAAACACCAGCAACCTCTCACAGCCGTTCTTTCAGCTCTCTTAATGATATTGCCTCAAACCGATGCTTTCAATACATTACATAAACGCATACAGTGCATTCCACCTGTTGTTCTTCACGAGTAAGTACACATTTTTCCTTCTTTTTTGTTCGATTAACATGTAGTAAAAATTATCAAAATAAAATTAGAAAGCGAAAAATTGAACCGTCCAAAGAAGTTTTCAACAATAACAATGTAATCGCTCAGCAAAGTTCCTTCTGATTGCTCCAGAAATTCTTTTTTCATGAACAGTCTTTCCTAAAATAATTTTTGCAAGTTATCGTTCAAGTTGTTCTACTTGAGGGAAAAGAAACAGAATCAATTGAACGCAAAGGTGGATTTTAAGCCACTGTTGCAACATTTCTTGAGAATCCTTGAACAGCAACAAGAAGTTCTTGGAAAGAAACATCGACAAATGCTGAGTTCAACTGAGCAGTGGAAATGAAATCTATTATATGAAAATACCGCGACTTTTGCAACCTGTTTCATTTATGGATTTATTGGTACACTGCACATGTACATTCATCCCACTGTCGATTTCTGAAAATATTTCTTGCTCTTTGATCCATTTTTAAAATCGGTATCTTTTTAATTCCTTAACTTTCCTCTGCGATAAAATGTGTGAAAGAAACTTGGATGAGGATATTCATCCCAAATATATTTCAGTGAGCCAATTTTTGACGTTGGGATTTCTGAAAATGGCTTTGTAAATGTGCTACATCATCTTATATTGGTTTAATGCGGAACTTGTTTAAGTTAGTTCAGTTCAATTCGGTTATCTATAATAAAAATCTCAAAAATCAATAAAGTCGCAGTCTTTAGCACTTCAGTTTTTGATAAGAGAGTACTCTGTTATGGATATGAAATATCAGCCACGTTTAGTAAAAGTATAATAAAAGGATATTAAACAGAGCACGATCATTTTCATAACAACATCTCTTAGCACAAAACTGCATCTATGTCTACCTTTTATTTAAGCGCTTCCCATTAAACACGAGCATGGAACTTCTTTTTAGCAGACAATAAAAAACTAGATATCATGAAAGCAACACATGTTTCGGTACAATTAGATACCCAACAACAATTCACAAATATTTGAAGATAACGTTATACAAGTTTTACCGAAATCTGGGTACAACACCAAATTTTCAAGTGAGGCAATCAATAAAAACTAGCGAAATGTCGACGGTTTGGTCTCAAAATCGAAAAAAAACTGATTTCCCTTATTCTGATCTAGAAAAGATACCAAAAAATGACAGAAGTAAACGAGACTGAGCTACGTCCATTGACTAGTATGAGAATAAATAAGTAACAGTATTAAATACCGGATGCGGATAATTCCACTAATTTAATGCTATGAACTGCAATAAAAAAAATGTTTGCAAAGACCTTGCATGTAATTGATATCAATACAAACATCAAAGCAATGAGATGAACATAGTCCTTAAAAAGACGCAGAAGTGTAGAAGTGTAAGTCGTCGAAGGCATCGGACTGCACTCGATAACGTAATTATTTTAACTGGCGCTGGAGTACATTGTGCAACAATGGGCTTCATGTGTGACTACAATTAATTCATACGCCAGTTATAAAATTTCCTAACAGGAAAAAAAAGTCCCTTTTCTTTATATAATAAATATTACAAAAACTTCGGTTTAAGTGTTGGCTACTGGCAATTAGGCGTTTTTAGATATGTACAAGTTTTTTGAGTCCGGACTACGACGTAACATCCAAAACAAAGTGATTACGACATTTTTACATTTTTTCTTGGAAAGTTTCGATATTCTCCATAATACTCAGCAGTAAAATTCTATTATAAACCGGACTAAATTAAAATCAATGAATGAAAATCATGAACAACGACTTATAATGGTACGAGCACGTGAACATAAGAGATCGGGAAGTAACCAGTTTTTCCTAGCAGTGAACCTTCATACCAATTCTCATCAATTTGTGAGATCAAATCAATAACGTCACCTTCTTTGAAATCCAACTCGGCTTCATTTTGTGCCTCAAAATCATACAAGGCTCGACAAGACGGCTTAAGAGTAGGCAGCGCAGAAGTGGGTGGCGCATTCGCGCTACCAAAACTTGCCGTTGAGTTGCAGGCTTTCGCACTCAAACCTTCACTATCTGCTGCCTGCTTTTGTGAATACATGGAAGATGCTACTGAAGGTAGTTGAAAATTGGCATTGTTGATTGACGTCGAATTTTCTGTATGCACTGGCGACCTGTAGACAATCTCGTCATTCTTTTAAAACAGAAACTAACTTGACCTAATTTTAGAAAAGTTTTTAATTGAAAACAGATTCTCAAAATCAACTCATTTGCTATTTAACTAGGTTGAAATTCACCATATGAAAACTGTGAAACATTTTTCACTTGGTAAATTTCCAAATTTGTACGTTAAAAATCAATGCAATATTATATTCTTAAATACTTGGTCCGCTGACTTTTAATAAGTTCCAGATATTTTGTTCTCACACCGCAAGATATAGTACCAAATTTTAGCGAATTTAGTCACTTTAGTAAATTTATTTTCAAGAGTATTCACATCTTTTAATCCGAATCAAACATTCTGGACAAAACTTACCGAGAGCTAGATACTCTATCTGCTAAAACGGGCTTAACGACATGCTCCACACGTAGTCGAATGCCTGCTTCTGCGACACTAAAATTTGTTTTGTACTTATTCAATAAAAATCTAACTGAAATAATTTGTTCAGCACAGTGTCTAAACCGAAATGATAACTGTGAAGAAATACCGTTCATTAAGTTGTGTTTTCAAATGTTCCAACACTTGTGTAGTCTGTCGATGGAAATCCAACTGCGCATCGACCAAAGCGCAAAGTTGAGTTACTTGTTCAACCTAAATTTCAACGTGTATGAATACATATAACTGTAACAGACTTTTTGCTTATTTAAATCATCCCCTTCCTTTACAGTGAAAATTTTTAGTAGAATTTTATGAAAAATGAATTTAACTGAGAATGATGATACATACATCATTGCTTAAAAGATTATACATTGCTAGTTCTGTTAACTGCTTTGACTCTTCCAATTTATCTTCCGCTTGAATCAATTCCTCATCTATAAAACAATAGCTTTCAATTCAACGACAAGCGTATTGTATTATTAGATTAACTGTTCAAAAACTTTTTGTAATAACAACATGAAATTATAAGATTATCATCCAAATGGTTTGTTCATGCAAGTATAACGTACTTATTAATGATAACAGATATCAGGCATAGTTAAATTATTGGAAAGGATTCAGCTACTAAGTACCGGGTGATTCCGCCATCATTTAATCTTTACTATCAATTTCATGTCTTTTCCATGTTTTCTTTATTCAGTGCCTTTTTGCCTTGTTTGAATGTGCCAAGCATGCATCTTCTCATGCCCATTATTCTAGAGTTCACATCATAAAGAAGTGAGTTACTTCTAGATCTCACAGCATAAAGAAGTTAGGTTGGGCCAAGTTCTGTAATGAGACAATCAAAACAATTTTTTGAACAGTAAAATTTACTTTTGTATGTAAATTTTGTGGAGAAGACTGATTTGTTGGGCCTCTAAACAGTATATGCTTCGCTTTTTTTTTTTATACCAGTAACATTTATTTTATTTAAATATGCATTTTTATTAATATTCATTGAATTGAATTCTTTAGTGAAACAAATAATAGTTAACCCCGTGTTTGTTTTCGCTTCTTACAATCGTAATCTAGGCGTCGACCCTTGAGCTTTGTTCGCAGATGCTGGAACGATAATCTGATAAAAAGCGAGTGATCCAAACTGCATTTTAAAACAGAATTAGAAATATTCCAAAAAACCACAGACATACGTTAACTTCTTTTAAGTCAGTTTGTTGCAGATGTGCTAATGGATCCAAAAAATTATGCTTCACATTATCCTCCATCTGATATTTAATATCGGCTAGTTGACGATAAGCTTCTGAAGCATCGATCAAAGCTGAAACATCGACATTAAAGTAAAAATTGAAGCTGGTAAGATAAATATGAAATAAAATGTAAAATAAAAGAAAACAAAATGTGAATTAGCTCAATTCAAACCTTTCCCAAGATCCGAATCTGCACCTAAGGCTGTTCCATATTTTTGCATAGTATCTGCTAGGAGACCTTCGGTCTGTGGATATGACTGTGCTTTCGATGTTCCGCGCACTTTTGACAAAGCTCCCATCGTGGCCATTTTTGCTCGAGTCGCTAACAACAAATTTTTAAATGAAAAAGTGAAACCATGATTTCAAGGACCGATGAAGTCAAGATTATTAATGAGCAGAAAGTCACGGATTGCCAAAACGCTTTTTCCTTTACCTGGATTGGGCTGCAATAGTTCGTGAGTTCCAGCAATTAATGCACTGATTAGTTCGTATGTCAGATCCACTTTCTTAAAAAAAAATGTAAATATATTTAACAGGAATAACAATTGTGACAAAAGGTCAAAATTCGAAATGCATTAGCACTATTATTAAGTAGGATATGGAATGCAGAGAATCGATAGGTGTAGAAAGTAACTAAGCAAACCCGTTCCATTTCATTGTATTGCTCATCAAGCTTCGTTGCTTCGGCAGCACCCATCGTTTCGCTGAGATACTATAATATACAAATGTTTTGATTTAATGATTAGTAGCAAAATATGAAATTTGCACTAACCCTTACATACGGCCCAAGGCTTCATATTCTCACAAGAAATGGAAAAATTCCTATATCAGTTGTGTGGATCACAGTGCTTATTACTGCTATGTGTTAAATTTTACATGCTTATTTCAACACCTGCAGTAATTTCTCATGTACCAAGTACATGAGAAATTTTTTTTTTAATAAGTTCTGTAACATTTATCATATTGCGCCGTCTAAATTGACAGGAAATAATGTATATAAATCTAAGTCATCGAAAGAATGAAATGCCATGAATTTAAAAAAAAAACGACGATACGACTAAATGTTAAGGAAATTAGGGATCATTTAAATGGACTAAATGCACCAATTTCACTGATTCCCTGCTAAACTCTAGATAACTGCAACTCATTGATAAGAAAAAAATCCCGCTATATACAGTACATCCATTATGCACTAAAAAAACTGGTGGGAAGCATCTAAGATACATTGTTCCTCAAAAAATGAGTTTAAACCATTAATGGTTGCATATTATTAAAAAATGTACCTGATTCGCTTTGTTTAGTTGTTTTTTCAAACCAGAGAAAGACATACTGTTACAGACTACCGTTAATTTTAGGCACACGAATCGACAATCTAAACACAGATGGCATAGAAAATTTGTGGAAAAAAAGTAGAAAAATGATTTTAACAATTATCGGTAATGAAATTATTTTTCTAAAATGAAATTTTTTCCTTCACCTGAAATTAAACAATCCAACATATTTTGATGCTGATAACACGAATTAAGAGATATGTATTGTGAGAAATT